ACACACACACACACACACACACACACACACACACACACACACACCATCACGTAGGGCGGACTATGACACAGATTTGTTGTTCCTTTCGTTGACAAATTTTCCGCGCAAAACGTTGTAACGTGTTGTAGCTGTTAATTACGAGAGAAAAAAAAAACAAACAAGAGAGACCCAAGTACGAAAGACGAATCGCCCCGTACCCACAAGCGAATAAGGTAAGATATTAAATGAAAAAAATAATGAATTAAAAAAAATGTGTCGGCTGTGAGCTTCCAAGCAAATAACAATAATTAAATTATTATAATATTAAAGGTTAAATAATATTCTACCTAATTGTTACGAACGTGGATTTCTTTTATCTATAAATGTGAAGTAAATTTGTTATCTCGTATCTCGCATACCGTAGCTATGATTGTCCATTCTAGAGAGAGGGAAAAGAAAAGAGAGCAAGAGAGAGGGAGAGAGACGGCAACAGAGAGAAGTTACACGAAGTTCGTAGCGCTGTCATGCAAAAATGACACGCACGGCGCGCGTTTAGCGGATGAATGTTCCGGTGAACATCCGAGAACGTGTGGTACGTAGATAATACGATACGTGACAAAGGCCTAGAACGCGTAGGGAGAATCTGTGAGAGTTGTTAACAAAGAAATTAATTTATTGAAAAAAAGCAAGAGTGCCTTCTATTTGTTTTCGTGATTGTATTGTTGAACATTTGTTGCGTTACGTTCCGAGAGCCTCTAATGTTGTTATAAGAAAAAAAAGAGATGTTTGAAGAATGTTGTTCCTCTATTTATTTATTGATTTACGGGCATGCGTATGTGCCGCCCGACTATATCCAGCGAATTCGGTAGTGTGAGTATGATGATGCTGTAGTAAGGTGTCAGTACCGGCGAATACCATATAGTGAGAGCGAACGTGAAAATGTAGCAATCGAATCGCATATTAACTGACGTTGCTGTCATGTCGATGAGAGAGAGAGAGAGAGAGAGAGAGAGAGAGAAACGAGTGCGATGAATTGTTATGAGTGTGAGCCGAATGAATGAATGTGAGGTGTAGACAGGGAGGAATATAGAAGAAACAGCTCATTTCGACACCTAGTTCTACGTATTACATAGAACGCAGAGATGACTCCTCCCTCTAATAATATATATATATATATATATATATACATACACACATATATATACATATATATATACATATGTATATGCATGCGTATATATCCATCGTATGGGTACACGCTGAACGGAAGTGCTCGTGTACACTCACACACACACACACATGTATGTATGTACGTAAATCGACATATACGCATACATATAGACGACTCGCGATTATAACATATACCGAAGATATCTAGGGTGCAAATGCGGAAAAGAAGATATGCATACTTATTTAGTCGTGTGTATTTGTGCGCGCGCGAATCTGGATAGGTGGCTGTGACTTATTGCGTGCAACTACAGATTTATATGTAAGCATACGTGTGCTCGTGCATCTACTCTCACTCACACCATACACAGACATGCACACACACAAACACACACACGTATATATACAAACATCACACCTGCATAACGCATACTTACATAACGCATTATTTCATATATATATATACTATACATACTATACGTGTACCTATATATATATATATATAAAGAGAAAAAGAAATAGATTGTAAAGTGCAATTCTATGTTAATTTTGGTACAAGCTAAAACGTGCAAAAACGCAAACGCGAATATCGTCAACGGACAGAACTTTGCGTGCTAAATTTAACGTAGAATGGTGCTGCGGATATGATCGATATAAATGATTATATATATATATATATATATATATATATATATATATATATATATATATATATATATTACATAAAAATATATATATATTATATAGTTTTAACCCAAAAAAGAAAAAGAGAGAAAAAGAAAGAGGATTCTAAGCTAGACGCCTAGCTAGTGCTATGTTTAGCGAAGTATAGGATCTACGAATGTATTATATACGCAGCTGAGATCGCGTGCATTTCGGATCGTGGAATGTCCCAGTTACTTGTCGCATCTCTCCGAAATTGATACGGGGGAGAGGAATCGAGGGAATGCGGGCTCCGAGACAATCTATATTAAGTGTCCGAACGTTATTGTCTCTCAAGGAGATTACGTCGCTTCGTGAAGAATACCCGCGACTATATTTAGTACAAAAGTGCTATATATATATATATATATTATTAGCGCAAAGCATTTTTCGCGACTTGTTGGCGAAGTTAGTTATTAATTAGCGATTAATTGGACATGTCAGATAATTAGGATTATTTATTTTTTTTGTTTGGATAAAAATCTCGGAATGTTTCGTGGTTTATTTGATAAATTAGTACCTCTCACTCTCGACACATATGACACACACACGTGCGCGCTCGCATGCATTACTTATCTAGTATACGCAGTCGCCGATAAATTGATGCACACTATGTATTCATCGTGGTCTGCCAATTTGTAGATAAGTAGAATCCATCCGTTCATTTCTCCAAGAAGAAACATAGAAGGGTACATTCCACGATCCGCGAAGGGTGCTCGTGTGAAGGAAAATTTATGTATTAATGAACATAAATTATACACAAAATGGCATACAGGTAATATCACAAAAAGTTACATAAGATTTAAGTACTCTATGGTAATATAAAGAAAAAAAATATGTTACGCATAAGAAATGCAAATATCCAAAACGAGATGTTAATAATAATAATAATAATAATAATAATAATAATGATATAATAATATAATAATAATAATAATAATAATAAAAGACAAACACATCTGTGCATGAAAAAAATCATAGCTGAGAAAAATTAGTAAAGGGATGATATAGAATGAAACTGCTGTAAATTTCTTCTGCAATTATATAATAATATAACAATAACAACACAATAATAATAATAATTGTATATATACACATCTGGTATGTGCACGTGTGTGCGATTATACGCGTATACACACCATATGTATACAGGTTGTATAACTGCGGGCTTCGTCTCAGTTACGGTTCTTACGAAATTGGAATTGGTTTCTCCGTAGCAAAGACGTTGAGCTTCCAATAGTTTTCCATGTCGCAAACAATTGAATTCCCCCGAGTGAGCAAGCGAACAAGCATACTCTTCTTTTGACCGTCGACGGTGAATCCAGCAAGACAGCAAAGATACGTAACGTTAAGTGTTAACATTCGTAAAGACGAATATTGTGCCTAATCGAATTTTTGCTAAGGAAAATTGCTCCAAGTTCCTCTCGGGAGGCCCGTAGCTGAAAGGAAGAGAGCGGTAGCTTGAGACACCGTGTAATAACTATTAATAACAACAAGTCACAATAGTAATAACAGAGTAATCGATAATCAATAGCAAGTCTTATTGAGATATAGCGAAACGTGCAAAGCCCGATCGCGTTAGACTATGTTCGCTCGATAAGTGCAGCCGAATGTGCGTGTTGTCCCTGCATGACGCAGCGGGACGACCGGATAGGTAAGAGAAGGATCGATAGGAACGAAGTGTTACTCGTTTGGCCATAAATAACAAACTGTATTTTTATTGATACTATAATACAGAGATCGTATAAGTCTCCTGAATGTATGTCTTATTCATGCATGACAATTCGGGAATTGGTGATTACGTCACGATGTGCTGAAGAGACACGTTTGAGCGTTCGTTCTTTTTCTTTTTGGTACTCTTATTGTGAGAGAGAATTTACTTACAGCTACAAAGTTTTAAAGAAATGGCACGCATCTCCTTACCAATTATTATATATATTTGTCTATATATATATATAATAATAATAATAATAATAATAATAATAATAATAATGCTACTTTTCCCGAATCTGCGGTCTATCTCTAAATATATATAAATTGAAGCGATATTCTCCCGTTAACGGATTACACGTTAAATACTTCGCGGTACGTCGAATACTTTGCTAGAATCACAATGATAATCACATCATCTGCAGGAAAATTGTCGTCGGATGTCGAGATTGGTCTACGTCACCTCTAATTCGTCGTCACCGACGTGTGACGCCCGTTATACTCCGTAACGTAGTGGCAATGCTTCGACATTATGGCAGTGTGACGGAATTTCAACGCGTCGGTCTTACGCCCTTAAGATTCGTATAAATTGAGTACAAAGTCAGCAACACGATTCTCCTCTCGCGTCAAATTGTAAAGAAATCAGTGGCAAGAGCAATTTTTCGTGTCAATTGACTAATACCTATGATATTGTAAAAAAAAACTCGGATCTTTCGCGCTAACGTAGTTAGGGTTCCTTCGAATACAGAGAAATATTGCGGTCTTGTGTGTTACGACAGTAGCGGAATGGAAAAGCCGTACGCGAGAAAGGAAACTGCAATACCGGCATCGATATCACCTCATATGTATAGCAAGTCACGAAAAGGCTGCAGCACATTTTTCTACAAATTCCGGAATCCATCCCGTATCAAAGGACAATTTGTTTTTTAGTAATTCCCAGAAAACACATTTTTCTATTGGATACGAGATGCGTTGCGAAACTCGAAGAAAAATATTGTAACCTTTTCTGTGACTGGCGACACAATCAATCACAATGACACTTGATTCGATATCTCGTCCGTGCGCTCGTCTCACGACGTCTTACAATTCGGTCGTCATGTGGGACGTTAAAGCCTGAACTCGCGTCGCGTTGCAGCTCTTGCACAACACGTGGTCGTCCAACGGATAGCAGCCCCGTCCCTCCGAGTCCGAGGACAATACCAATCCGCAATCCTCGCACTTGTAGCACTGTATGTGGAAGCTGCGATCCAATGCCACCACTCGTACGGTCTCGTCCTCGCCGGGTTCGGGCATTATCGGTAACTTGCAGACGCAGCAGCGCGGCGCGAACTTCCTGCGTGTGGGAAAGGGCGAATTAGCGGGCAGAGGAACGACTATCAAAACCGAGGATACGATCCACTCGAAATTACAAATGCTTTGAAGTGCTTGAAGGAAGAATGTGATTGGCTTATACGGCGCTTCGAAGCGACATGTCTGTTCTTTTTAATCGAACTGACTGCACTAGTTGAAGAAATTTATGCACACCGAAGCGTGAATCTCGTATGTACGTTTTGTACGTTTCAGTGTACATGTAAATTCCTTGAAATAGTGCAACCAAGTTCGACTAAGAGGGAGACTCACTTGTGGAAACACTGAATGCAGTGTATCTGGTTCGTGGCGTCCACGGTGAACGGTATGCCGTCCAGGCTCTGTCCGCAAACGACGCAGGTGAAGCACGATGGGTGATATGGCTTACCGGTGGCTCTCAATATTCTATCTAAAATCGGTCTGATGCAGACGCAGCACTTCTCCAGGGTGTTGAGATAGTCCTCCTCGCAGTAAGGTTTGCCCTCCAGCGAGTAGAAGGGCTTCCCCTGTAGATTGACCTTGCAGACGAAACAGCAAAAGCAGCTAATGTGGAAAACCTTGTCCATGGCCGAACATCCGGTGCCCTCTCCCTCGACCTTGCGCCCGCATTGCCCGCAGATACCGTAAATGTCGCTGTCTTCGCTGTTATCCGCCATTCCTTGGACCAACAGATCCGTGAGAACGTCGACCTGCGAAGAAGTACAGGCATATTCGTTAGGTAGAACGCTGATTTACCGTGCTATGTTACGCCTAAGGCACAACGTAACATTTCGAGACTCACTTCTTTGACGGGGGACGCTTTGCCCTGCGGCTGCGTAGACGTGGCCGATCCGTAGCCGGAGTACATGGAGTAGTTGCACGACAATTGCGACGGTGGCCTGGGGTTAATCGGCTCGTATATGGACTCGTACGTCGAGCTCGATTGCGAACTCGGCCCGTAAATATCGGCGGGATAGTTGCCCGACGGGAAGTCGGGTTGGTAAGTGGCGCGCCTCAGCTCGCTGTAACTGGACGACACGGGACTCGGCGGCGGAGGCAGTTCCTCCGGCGGCGGCGGGAACGAGTTCCCGGGCACGCATGAGACGTACTCTGACGGCTCCGGCGGTGGCGGTAAATCGTCTGCAATCAGAGAGAAACCTAACGGATGCGTATTGAATCTCCCACGCGTACACACACATACACACACACTGCGAATTTCTCTCGGAAACTGTTCCCAGCCCTCTCGACGCGTCCGTTCCTGTACTCCGCTTTAATCGGTGCGAGCAAGAGCTGCCGTGTTCCGTGTTGAGAATAAACGCGTCGAGAAAACTGCAGCCCTATTCTGTTACTTTGAACGACAGTGTGTCGTTACTTCGCGCAGTTTTTCATACATTGTATGGGTGCGTTCGGGGAGCCAAAGAGGTGCTAGCGAATGCAAGCTCTATGAATTGTATGAATAGTGCAATGTTAACGTAACGAGCAGATGCTCTTAGCAAGCTTTCAATAATCACATGTTACAGAATAACCAAGATTGAGGGCACAGTGCATTGTCTTAAGGGCACAAATCAGCCATTCTGCTAAAGTTCTAAAACAGTAAGAAAATCAACCAATCACAGCCACTTATTCTCCTTACGGTCGGGGAACAATCGACTGTGATTGGCCAATTTGCTTGCCGCTTACGTTCTTGTTGCATATTACGAGCTTAACGCTCAGCATTGACAGCGTGGTACGACGAGCTCCCCCGAGCTCACCCACACACCTAAAGAGGCTAACGCTATCAACACCTCGGAAGCGATAGCGTTCACCACGAGAATTTATGTATGTAAAACACTTCCGCCCGTCACAATGGCGTTAGCGCTGAATAGCGGTGATAGCGAAGTCCTCGAGCGTAACGACAACGTAACGATGACGATGTCGTTTGAAAGTACAGAAACAGGCGTACCGGATAGAAGACGAAACAAATAAAGAAAAAAAAGATGTGCTCGTACCGTCTGGCCGTCGCCTTAAGGTTCGAAATGTGTACACAACCGATTCGTATAAGTTCTTACCACCGCCATGCGGAGGAGGAACGTTGCAGTACGTGTTCTCTGGTTTAGGGCTCCATTGAATATTGCTGTATATGATGTCCTTCTCGGTTTTGATCGGCGCGGGAACCGGGATCGGCACCGGCGGCTCGATATTGCTGTACACCGCGTTTCTCGTCGCCCTGTTCGAGCGATCGTCCGCCACGACGGGCACCTGGGGCGCCGGCATGTTGCCGATATTGGAGTAGTAGTTCTTCTCGTCGTATCTATACTTAGGCTCGAACTTGTCGTCCGATTGGCACACGTAGAAACTGTCGTTGTTCTGATAGAGTTTCGACGTGTCCTTGCCGTTTGCAGGTGCCATCTGCGAGAAGTCGTTCTGTATGTCCAACGGAGCGTACGGCGACGGCGTGTTCATATACAAGTTGGTAGCCTTGTCGCTGGAGCCCGCGTTGTTCAGAACTGTGCTGTACGATGGCGTTGGCGGAGCCTTTATGGTGTAACTTTGTGGTATCTGAAATATGTGTGTGAATACTTAGGCACTTTTGCTGTTGTCTCAGGTTCTATGGTAAGACGTATGTTGAATTACCATAGTAGCATCCGTTTTTGAGAATGCATACAAAGGAAGCACGAAACATTACGTTAGTACACAGTGATACAAGTGTGGGTGACAGGTGTTGGATTAACCCTCTAATGACAAGATTTTCAACACACCCGGGAAAGTAGGCTCGGAGTTTGCTCATTTGTCATATAATTCATGTGGATGAGAGAAGTAAATGATAATATAAATTCGTTGAAGAAGAGAAACAGCGCGCACACGCTGTAAAATAAACGAGATCCTACCTTGTGGTCAGAGGGTTAAATAGCGACTCACCTGAGGCTGAGACCTTTTCGGCTTGGGCGGTACGGCAGGCCCGACCTTCTTGCCGGGCTTGACAGCCTTGGCCGCGTCATCGCCGTGGCTGAGCTGCAAGCTTGCAATTTGCTGCTCCAGATTACCCACGTTTGACATTTTTTTTCTGCAACAGAATAGGTTAGGTGTCGAGTTTAGTGTGTACCTTCTATATCCATGCGATTATACGAATTGATGCTGGCGATTGTCGTCGAAATCCTTACACCCTGATCACAGCTTAACACGCAAAACGATTTCTAAGTAATTGAGAAAAAGCTACGACCAACCGACTGGATTTGACAGCACAACGCGTAATGGCAACGACCTCTGGTTTGAGACACGACGTCTGTCCGTGTGCACCTGCACTCGCTGCACCTCGGGCGGGACTGCACTCACGCCTCGAAGAAAGAGCCGCAGTTAAAGGGAACGGGCTCATGGCCAAAGTAATTTAGGGTCTTGTTCCTTTCTGTACGCTGCGTTTTCTGCCATTGTAACTTCCTTTTTTCTCTCTCTCTCTCTCTCTCTCTTTCTCCCTGCACACTTTCATACTCGTGTCGTGCCACTCCATATTTCTTTTTACTTCAAGAGCAATGCCGCCAAAAAAACGAACAACGATGCTGTGAGGACAGCGTGGAAGCGGCAGATTCCGTTCTCTTTCGGGCGGTGACTCAAAAATGCCACGTTTCCTGCGTTTGAAGCCGAACGGTAGAGAGAACTCGGCAGAAGGGAGCAAGGAGGAGAACGAAAGATCGAAAATGCGGCCGGGGGGCACGAAGAAGCTGGCACATGACTCACGCTAAAGACATCGTCGCTGAGCGTCGTTATCGCTCGCGGAAACCGCTCGATTGCACTAATCGTTTATCAGAGCAGCGCCCACACACATTATGTAATAATCGTGGTAATCTGCCGGTGGTACGTACCTTGTGCAATATCTATTCGTATTTGGCACGCGATTGCTCGCAGTCACGCTTTTTTCCCTTCGTTTTCAGATCGCCCTGCGGTGAGAGAGCAGGGCGTGAACTCGCTTCGTCAGCTCCTTTATTTATACACGACGGGGATTTCCGTTACTTCGCGCGCTCCGAACCACACCCTCGCACGCGAGCCAGCCGTCAATCCGGCGAAATAAACGCGACGCCGGCGGGTACACGATCAATTTATGCCGATTACGCTCGACGCGACGCACCGTGCGCTCTCTCGTCCATGACTCTCACGGCCCCACGAGTCCACCTGAATCATCCGCAAGTGCTCGCCGCGACACGCACGCTGCGCAGGTACGCGCCACTCTGGGCTGTGTGCGTATGGGGCCTGTGACGGACTTTCGGACCAGTTTGGACGGTCGGAGCGTCCGGAACGGAGGAAGAGAGAGAAAAAACGGTGAGGGCGACGAATCTGCCCTGCTCGGAGAGTTACGTGCGCCTCTGCGTGCGGCAAGTCCATGACTCACTGTCATCATCATTCTAACCCCCTGATGAAATTTCAGACTCGAGAGAGAGAGAGAGAGAGAGAGATATCTCGGTAACAAGTTGTTGGGCGATTTTCAATTTTATGAGAATTTTTGAAGCTCCAAACAAATGTGATGTGGAAAGGAGAAGTGGGTCGATGGAGGTATTTTGCGAAAAATGTAATGAAAATTTGCTGAAATGCGCTCGAAAATCTTAACTGGGCTTATTTCATTATTATTTCATGAATGTTTCAGTAGAAAATTGCTTTCGTTGGTGTCTCAGCAGTTTTTCTTTGAAAAGTCATGCAGTTTATAGTTATATTTGGTAAATTTTATGGTATCTGATATTTCAAAATGTTTTTAATACTTTTCAACAATGTACTTTAACTTTTCTTATATTTCGCAATATTATATTACATTTCATAGGGAAAATTATGTGTGATTCATTTTTACATGTATAATTTTTCAATAACTTTCATTTCACTTTTCATCAATTTCATGGTACTTTCGGCAAAATATTTCCATCAGGGCGTTACAATAAGTTTGTATGCGCCTCTCCCTTCCACGCTACATCTTTCATAATTCTAAAAATTCTTATAAAATTTAAATGTTTAATAATTAAAAATATATAAATATATATAATATATATAATATTATATAATATGTGTATATATAATATTATATAATATATGTATATCAGTTTTTGAGATTGGAAAAGATATATTGTATATCTTTTGCTTATCTTTCTCACATTTCTTAAGTCATTACGTCAGAGAATGTATCTGAGGGGAAATTATTTTACTGTTATCGAGGATAACAGCCGATATTCGTTGACTGATTGATTGAACAAAAATAATCTCTCGTGCCGGATGACACGTTTCTACTTTAACACAGATTAGATTTAATCTACTCAACGATGTATAATTACAGATATTTGATGCACGAATAGCAATCTCGAAAACACCGACAATTCGATAATTTCATAATCTAGCACGATTATCGTGTAGTTTGTAAATTTGATGCGATGATTAAATAGCGATATTAATAGCGATTTACATTATTTATCTTATTAACGTAAATAATTTCATATTAATTTAACAGATTTCAATTTCCTCTCGATAAAGAAGAGAAATTTATAATGTGAACAATATTAAAAAGATCAAGTTCATAAGATTTTCCGAACTCGTTAAATAATTTCCGTAATAAGTGACCCATATGGCCATATCTTATACGTCGTTACGATCGTTCGATTACTTTTATTTGTGAAAACACGACGTCTGGTTTTTACGTCTGCATTTCAAGGCGAGATTTACGTATAAGAACCAAACAAGCTCTTGCAAGTACTTTTCCAAGTGCACACTATTTTTTTTCCATTCAAGTGTTCCCTCGAGTTACTGTTTTGCGCCGAAAGAGAAGTTTCGTTTACGTTATAACTTGAAATAGATAGAACGAGAAACTAGAATCCATTGTTCATATTCTCTGAATGCCGTGTTTGACTTTTCCTCCTACCAGGGGCTTACCAGGATGAGTCACGAGCGTCACAAGCGTTACAACTGTCATAATTTCTCTTTATTTAAAATAGTGAATAGATAACGTTTAATGTGCCTTACCAATATATTAGAAATCACTTCGTGTGACGTTGAGATTAATTGGAAACAAAACAAACGATAACAGGAAAATAGAAATTGCTATCGTAAAGTATTTTCAACACTTCGAATTCCATGATGAAGTTTCTTCCTTGTACGGAAGAGAAACTAATGAATTTTCTTGTTCTACTAAAATTCTTATAATTCACCTGCATCTCTTTATCATCATAATTCTCGGGAATGATCATTAACAGGTGTTAACTACGTGAACTAGAAACGGCATCCTGATTATTGTTAATCTTTTGCGATTGCCTGTATTAGCATCGTCTTGAATTGAGAGCCTTCCGGTGCCACCGCTTATTTAATTACGATGATTCATATTTTTCCTTATTTTTATGCGCACAGTCACAAGATAACCGGTAATATTCCATCATGGTCGCGTTTTATTGTTGTTTCTGCGAGAAAATTCACACAGAAACATCAATATTCACAAAGAAAAAGATTTCTTTGGATTTAATTAAATTCCTTCAATTGAAATCAATTTCTCTTTTGAAATGGAGCAAACAAACGTTTGATTCAACAACAGAATTGTTTCCGTTTAGTTTCTCAAACAATAAATATTTTTACGTCAAATAACACATCTCTTTTATATTGTCATTTAAACACTACAATGGTCGTCACAAGTAATAAATTATTTGGAAAAACTAACAATAAGTTAGAAAAATATTCAAGAACTTTTTGTGCTTCTGTGGAATAATATTTAATATATAATGAAATACATTTTTTTGTTGAAAACCAAATATATTATTTCCCCTAAATAATAATAATAATGCTTTTTCCATCAACATGGTTTATTCTAATAAAACGATATTTTCATTTAAATAAAATAATATTTGATATTAATATTTGAATTGTTTATATTAAACAAATCCAAATCAAACCTGTATATTAAATCCAAAGAAACTTTTTTTTCCTTATACGTTTTCGATATATTTTTCATTCTTTTATGCTGTTTAGAATTTGGGTTGACAAAATTTGATGTTATCCAACGTCATACGTTTTCTTTATCTCTTCACGTGATCGGATAGTATTTAATTAAAATTCTATCGCGCGTTCTACATCAGTTTGTACTAACTATTTGTTTCTACTCAATGACTCATTATCTCGCCAGTGGTTTTGTTAATTAATGTTATTTATAAAACACAGCCGTGATCAGGTAGCGTGATATGCCGGAAGAATGAACGAGTCTCTCATTTGGTGTATCTAATCGTTGACGATTAAAGCACTTGTAGATATTAAGTTACGTGCCGACTGACAAGTGTCTATTTTTTTAAACATAGTGTCTTCCCGTCACCTCTCGTGCTTCTATAAAATATCGCTTTTGACAGGTGAATTTAAGTTTTATTATTTTATTGTTTTTGTCAAGCCGTGTTATCGCTTATACGTGTTGACACTGAGATGACCACAAGTTATCTCAACTAAACAACGAGACATAAAACTGTAACAACATCAAGTCGAGGATATTTGTGAAAAAATTCGAGAAATATACCTCCCAAGAAATCGCATTTTTACACGTTCTTTTGCTTTCTACTTGCAGACACACAGAAAAAAAGATTTGTTTCGGATTTGATACAAATTTTTTAATCGGAATAAATTTAATTTTTTTTTAATGGAGCAAACAAACGAATGTTTGATTCAAATAAGACTGCTTGGTTTCTCAACCAATAAATATCTCTACGTCAAACAACATATTTCTTTTACATTTTCATTTGAACATCACAATAACTGTCACAAGTAATAAATTATTCGAAAGAATATACTATGCTAAAAAATTTTAAAGAACTTTTTGTCTCAGTGGAGTGTTATTTAATATTTAATGAAATAAATTTTCCTTTTATTGAAAATCAAATATTATTCCCTCCAAATAATATCGTTTTTCCTATCAGACGACATTTTCAAGCAAAATGATGTATTAAATTATGTAATTTATACATTAAACAGACCAAAGTTAAACGCACGTGTAAATCCAAATCAACTTTTTCCTCTGTGTATGTACACGGTGGTGCGCCGAGAAGCAGAGCCCGATCATATAATCGGTGTCGGTAAAAGTTTATAAGTAATAAAAGAGAAGCGGACTTGTCACTTTCGATTTCTTCGAAGCTATTTCAGCAGAACGTACAAAATGACGAAGAAAGGAGTATTTATCGAACTATCGCTATTACGTAGAGGTACAGATCATCGTAACCGGTTTGGCCCCTTCGCGTTCTGTATATTTAGAAGCACGTTCGCTCTCTATCATTATTATGGTATTAACGCATCCTCCCCCTCCCCCTTCCCTTCCTTTAACCGTATCATTTGTATCGCATCAATTAGGCGCGCATTTCGCATTATTACATTCGTATGCTGATAGCGCTGTTAGGTTGCTACATTACGGAATTACGAAGTCACAATTTCTGATCGGAGGACGCGCACTCAGGGAGGAGGGAAGGACACATTCATTTCACGTAGTCACGTCGTCGCCGATAAACGCGGGGAATTCCCAGGATAGTGTAGACGCGGCTGCTTGTAAATCACTGCACGTACAAATCTTCGAAGAAAATTGTAATATTTTTATTTACATATGAGAATATTACTGCTTGATTTAAAACTATTTCCTTTCAGTATGTAAGAGATAATATGAAGATAATATAATTGTTTTAGATAACGTAAAGGCTGTAGATAACAGACATGAATAACGCAACACACATTATTACTAGCTATTTATAATTTAAAATGGACAAAAAATTGCAAAAGAATCATAAAATGAAAAACACATGGGTTTTATTTTTCATAGTGTAATAATTTTTATCAACGCGAGGAAACTCATAATTAAAGGAATGTCGTGAGTGACAAATTTTTGAGATTCGGCTGATCAATTTGGGGAAACAGAGAATGTAGCGTAAGATTATTAAAAAAAAAAAGAAAATAAGTAAATAAGTAGAAATAATGAAAATAGTGAAATATCTTAAAATGATTTTAAAATTATTATAATCGATCTTCCGGCGAAAATGTTTAGAAACCGATGGATTTTTTGGGTAACTGACGAATAAAAAAAAAAGAAGACTTAACAAACTAAATTCGAGGCGGAAAATTAAATGGTAACATTGTACTCTTCCGATCATTTCTGTACTCTCTGACAAAAATGTTATTTCTTCATCAGGACTTGAAGTATCTACGTCCCTGATCGGCCGACCCCTCTCCTGCGGTTCTGTTGGCCAAGTTCGACAGTGTCGAACGGCATCCACTGGCATTCAGCGACGAGCCAGTGAGTGGTGAACAGTGGATCCGGCAGCCTGTTTTCGCTGCGTCGCAGCTGGTCGCGATGATCCACGATCAATGATCGCAGCGTGTGGGTGGTATCAATGACACTGAAGCGGACGTGATTTCCGATAATTGTGCGAATCTTCCCGCTTCGTCGCATTCTTGCGTTTCTCCTGCCGTGAAGTGAGTAGAAGCTCGTCTCCTTTCTGAAATTCTCTCAGCAGCTCGCTGACTCAGAATCGACCGACGACGACGATCTGCATTGATCGATCGCGCACTTTTATCCTACTAACAGTGTCAGCGACGAATCTCACCTGCCTCTCCACCCGATTTCCGTACAATTAAGAACGATCATCTATCTATCTTCCACCTTTTCTCTTTTTCTCCGGGCCGTTCGTTCCGTCGACATCGTGTGTGCTTTTTACGCCGTGCTTTCCGTTGCATCACACTCTCTCTCGGTACGTTTGAATTTACGCGATCGCGAGTAGGAGAAACGGTGACCTATTTGTGCGGCAGTTATCGGGATGGCTTTTTTCAGAGCAACGCATCTCAATACAATCATGCAGACGAGTCACGACGTGAAGCCCAGCGACGATGCCGTTGTCACGACGGTGCCACATCAGCGAATGCAAGAGTCGGGATTAAACAAAGCCACCGAGAACACGTCACTGTCGTCGAACAACAATCAAACTTACTTCGCCGACGAGAAGGTGCTAGTGCCGGAGAGCAAGACGGTGAGCCGACCTTGAGCTGTCTTATCCAGCACGTTACTCGAATACAATAATGCATTATTGCTTGCAGATATCTTCACGTCTTTGTAAGCCAGTTCAACGACAAATTTGTCATTGTCATCGCCGTTATCGTTTTACTTTTTTTCTTCCCCCATTCCTTCATAACACTCACGCCGCTTTGTAACTTGCTGTTTCTCTCACGATCGGACATCTTTCGTTGCAGGATGGATTCAGTTTTAGGAAACTATGGGCTTTCACGGGGCCCGGCTTCTTGATGTCCATAGCTTACCTGGACCCTGGCAACATAGAGTCGGACCTGCAGTCCGGAGTGGTGGCGAATTACAGGGTACGGCTCTGAACTTGAAACGCGCACGACGTAACGGGCGTGCAGCTCTGCAGTGTGCTTCAATTTAGTTTTATTATTATTACTACGCGCGACGTTCCCCGCGGTTTATCTTTTTTTATCCTCTAATGACCTCCTCTGTTAACGTGTTCGCTTTCAGTTATTATGGGTACTACTAAGCGCTACTATCCTAGGTCTCGTAATGCAAAGGCTCAGCGCGCGCCTCGGCGTGGTGACTGGCCTTCATCTAGCCGAGATGTGTTACAGACAATATAAAAAAATACCTAGACTCATTTTGTGGATAATGATCGAAATAGCGATTATCGGTAGCGATATGCAAGAAGTAATAGGGACGGCTATTGCCCTTTATCTCTTATCTAATAAAGCGTAAGTGTCCTGATTGCTAAATATTTATCGCTAACAATACACTTAAGCTAACACAGTGTGAGGTATGTACTTCTCGGGAGGATGTGGAGCAATTAAAATGTCGCGATTCGCGCTACTAACCCTCCTAAACGTTGGGCACACATCAAATTATAGTTGTCACACTGAAAGATAAAAAATTGCTACACCCAAGTAAATATTTGCTAAGGAGTATCAGAGTGTTTTATTTGGATTAAGTAGATATTGTTATTGAATGTAGCACTTCTTTTCTTTCAGGTTGCTGCATTCAAGTAACATTTACTTGATCCAAATAAAATAAACCGATACTCTTTACAGCAAATATCTGAACTTGAACGTAGCAAATTTTTTTGTTCACTGCAGCAGCAGAACATGAATTTTTCTGTACACACTGAATTTTTCTATACTGGGAGTTAATTAACATTTCTTGTAGTATGTGTGAAGTAAGATTATAATCTGCACGTCATGCGCACATATGCATGTGTATATATTCTCAAATTACTGCGTCGAAAAAAAAATATATATATATATATCATCGATTAAATTTGTCGATGCGCATGATGGCTTTCATTCTACGCACGAGTCGTTATCTTTAATTGCTTATTCTTTACCTCCTTTGTCTCTTTTTCTGTTCTTTTACCATGGCCACGGAATATCGTAGATAGCGCACGTAAATATGTGCGGAATGTGATAATGATACAGCAACGACGAGAGTCGGTGCGGTCGGTAACTTTCTTTCCTTCCAGAATACCTATTTGGGGCGGCGTACTTATTACCGTGGTTGACACGTTTACATTTTTATTCCTGGATAAATATGGCCTGAGGAAGTTGGAGCTGTTTTTCGGCTTGCTAATCGCAGTCATGGCTGTCACCTTCGGCTATGAGGTAAGTCACTTCGACGATACTTTGATCGCGTCGCTTCAACTTACGTTCCCGACGTCGTCGTCGTCGTGCTAAATCCAATTTCGGATATGTTTCAGTATGTCTATTCCAAGCCCCCTCAGTTGGACGTTGTGAGAGGCATGTTTGTCCCGTGGTACGGCGGAATGAATTACGATAACAAGGTGTTGCTCCAAGCGGTGGGGATCGTCGGCGCAGTCATCATGCCGCACAATTTGTACCTTCACAGTGCCTTGGTCAAGGTAAAAGGACTTTTAAACGGCGTCGTTGATTCTCCGACGATATGTGTAATAATTTCTGGATTTTTCAGTCAAGAGACATTGATCGAAGACAACCCGCCAAGGTTAAGGATGCTAATATGTATTACTTTATCGAGGCCAGCGTCGCGTTATTTGTCTCGTTTGTGATCAACGTGTTCGTCGTCGCCGTATTCGCTAAAGGTCTTTTTGAAAAAACGAACAACCAAGTCGTGAGTGCCACAATTAAAGATAGTCGCAGATAATCGCGAGATAACGCCAGTAACGTGGATATCCGTTTTACATCTCTTTACAGTACAGTATTTGCGAGGCGAGTAATTACACACTCGGCATGGAAACTTTCGAGGTAAGCGCTCTGTCCCCGCGGAATAATCTGTTCCGATTTATGCAGTTATGTGACGAAAACTCGCATGAAATTGGCGATGTTACAATTGTGTGTGGGTCGCTCCTCTCAAAGGCGTTCGCTGACGGAATCTCGGCATTTCCAGAGGAACAACGAGACGCTCAACGCCGACCTCTACAAGAGTGGAATCTTCCTCGGCTGCTCCTTTGGCGCGGCCGCGATGTACATATGGGCGGTCGGCATCCTGGCCGCCGGTCAATCGTCCACGATGACCGGCACCTACGCCGGCCAGTTCGCGATGGAGGGCTTCCTGAATCTACAGTGGGCCCGTTGGAAGCGAGTTCTGTTCACCCGAACGATCGCCATAGTGCCCACGTTCCTCGTCGCCTTCTTCGCCGACATGAGCAACCTGAGCGACATGAACGACATCCTGAACGCCATCATGAGCTTGCAGCTGCCGTTCGCCACCTTGCCGACGATCGCGTTCACCAGCAGCGTTCAGATTATGGGTGAATTCCGGAACGGATTGTACGTATGACGATCCCTCTTCGTCGTCTTCCTCTCGGTCCTCCCTTCCTACGATCGCGTATATGTGTCTGCGTTGCAGGGTCAACAAGATCGTGGCGACCGCGCTGTCGGTGTTAGTGATCGTGATAAACATATATTTCGTGACGCAAACCGTCCAAGAAGACCTACCTCACACTTGGCCTGTGTACCTCGGCATGTCCATCTACGCGGTTTTATATCTTATTTTCTGCACTTACCTAGCTATTCACATGGCTGTGAGCATGGGTGCAACGTCCCTCGGCAATCACTGGGTATGTATGCCTCACTCTTCTGCACATGACGCACTTATCTCGGTGTTAATGCTCGGAAACTGCGTTGATTCTCGTTGATTACCACTGACATTGCCGTGTTAATTGTCGTCACATGAAACTTGTTGTACGTGAGGTAATTAGATCTGAATGCGGAGTTGGGTGTCTGAGCTTTTCAGAATCGAATCACCAATAAGTGAGAAATGATTGAATCAATTTTTTCGAAACATTAATTTCACGCGAGTTTTATCAACATTTTGACATATTTGGCATAAATGTTTTTTAACTGTTATAATTGGTGATATAATAAAACAGTAAGGAAGAAACATTAAGTCGATCTTATGAAACATTGATAATACGTGGATTTTATAAACATTTTGACGCAGTATTTTATCAATGTTTTTAAACTGTTATTTGATAATATAATGTTCCTAAATATTAAAGTCAGTGTAGAAATATTAATTTTAATATTTTCGTCGAATATTGTTAACATTGACGTATACAATATTAAGAACATATCTGAAAACGTTACATATTATAAAATATCATTATAATAACGTTATTATTGTATATATATATATATAATTAATGATTTCTTGTCTACTGGGAATACACGTGATATTATATTCGCAATCGCGATATTCCACTGAAAACTCGCGTCTAAATCTAAACTCAAATATTAGTATTGCACTTGAGACATGTTTGAAATAACAACTACTCCAATACAGGTCATAAACCTTTATAAATAGCCGTTGCTTGAAACTTATCTCACATAGAATTTTCAGATCTGAATCTGAAGAGTTAGATTGGGTTTTTTTTATTTGAATCATGTACGTGACATTATATATTCGTAATCACGATTCACGAATGGAAAAAACTCACATTCCATTCTAAATTTAAATCTGACTACTCACCTGGAACAAGTTCTAAGTAATAATCCTTAATACGGGTCGTAGAAGCTCACTTGACGGTTGAATTGCCAAGAATAAATCTTTTCAAACTGTGAGGAATAACAGGCCTTTTCACGGGGCCAAAACGTAAACACTTGTCTTCCCTTTTCCAGTTTGTTACCAAGTACATCGGCACGCCCGTAAGCACAACTCTCGGTATAACGAATCCAGCCGTTTACGCCAGGTAAGAGGAATTCTCTATCTATATTCGTTTGTCGAAGCATTGTACCATTGTCTCATCGGATGACACTATAATGCCTGTGGTGGAATATGTTATGCGGAACTCGCCGAGCAACACGGATATAATCAGTGCGCTTTTCTACGTCTACTAATTGTATGTGTGTAGATACGAGACTTTCGGTACGAGCGAAACGTGATTTTGTAAAAAAAAAGGGCTACTCGTGTGTTCTCTACGTGTCACATCATGATTGGGCGTGCACTCGACGTGAATCATGCGATGATACATAATCTTTTGGGAGGCTCAATAGAGTTACCTTGCATATGTGAGTCCACATTAACAAAGGTACTAACAAAGCATGCCGGTGCGACGTCGCTCAAAATCTACTTCTCGAGGTGACGAGCGGCGCAATGTTGACGTATAAATCACGTGCAAATAATTCAAACTAACAGGCCTAACACAGAATGCTTCATGAAATGCACAAGTATACATTCTCCTGAGACTTGCATATGTCTACATGGTGGACATCGCAGTGGTTGGGAAGACGAAATTTGTATCGCGTGCTTTGCATTTGTCGAATTCGTGATAATTGACTCCGCGTTGGCATCCTGTCAACGGTAGTGCCGATTCTGATCTCGTCCGGCCAGATGCATGAATGAATCATGACCTGGTTAAGCGTCGACGTTGCATCAAGGTATTCTTGCCTTACCATTCACATTTGCCTTTCATTCGGATGTTTTCACGAAAGTTTACAGTCCTCGAGTTTCGAAAAAAAAAAAACTCGTTTTCTCCCCCATTTTTCCGCGGATTTCTTCGATTTCTGTGCAAAGGGGACTAAATTGAGAAAAATTCACGTTGGGTTGAAGCTGCATTTATTAATTTTTTTATTAAAAAATAATAATAATGATAATAATGCTACTTTATTGGCGCGAAACGTATATTAAAATAACTCAGAGTTATTACGAGGAAGGTATAAAAAACGTAAGGGTCTGCTGAAAAATTGGAAGAAACATTTTTTTTCTCGAAACTTTAAGAATACGCGTGAAAGTACACTTTCTAACCAGTGCATGCGCTTCGGTGTTGAGTTCGTAACATTAGGCAAACCTTTTGTTTCCGTCATTGCGCAGACTGCAAAGAACACTTTCATTATATATATAGCAATAGTAAATGAGAATTGATCGGTCAAGTGTTCCGGTAGAGACACGGTGATTCGTTACTTATTAATTAGAATATTATGTTAATTACCAATTCGCCAATAAGGTTTTTTAGCATGAATGAATAGTTTAAAATATATATACATAGATACCGTGTGAAATATTCGTTATTTTCGTACGTACGCCTATGTGTGTGTGATTCAGACTGGATTTTCTTCATTCATAGTTTCCACAATACGTCAGAAACCTCGTTGAACGCTTAGTGGGAGTAATACGATTAAATGTGCGAGGCAGGTACGACCTTTCAGTGTTCTCCGACCGAAAACGTGAGAAAAACAATGTCGCGTTGGAAAAGTGTGCTTGTAAAACAACTTGTGACGTCAGCATGATGTCCCATGGTATGTGCCATCAGTTAATTATATCTCGATCGTAATCTCAGAAATGTATACACATATTTCTTTATTGCGAGAAATACGAGTGTAATCGATGCTTCCCCCCCTCCCCCCACCGTGATAACGTTTCGTCATCGTTATTGGACGATAACAACTCGTGCGGAACTCGTCGTCCGTTCACCTCATCCCATCGGTATTGCCGATCAGTTTTTGTTTGGTCCCTGTTGATTGTTTTTCGTACCGACGCTTGTATCGAAAGAGAATTTTATCACGTACGACGAGTGATTAACCAACACTATCTTCATTGCATGCGAATTGTTAACACACGAAAAGTCTGGGCTCGCAACATTGACCTCATTATCTCGATATCGTGACGAAGGTAAGAGCCACATTGAGATTCATTCCGTAATCTCGATGTTAACAATTCAACGTTCGGTTAATATAATACGTGTCGAAAGTACATAAACACACGTTGAATATATATATTGCAGAACAAATCCAGCATTTACCATTCAAGAAAATTTCGGCGGCAGTTTCACATCTATACCAGAATATTAATTCGTTTACGACCAACTTGTATCAGTAACGGATGCCTGAGCGATGAACAGTAAGGTGTACGATCCGCACAGTGCCTCTTCAACTACATTCAACTGGGCAGGAGGTAATCGACAGTACACCGTATGATATCAGTGTAACATTCCGTCATCGAGCACACACGTTGTTTCAAACAGAAGGCTCGGGAAAAGAAAAATTATTTATATATGAATTTTATCTCTATATGTGTGCCTAATATATAACCATATGTAATTGTATATATGTAGCCATATAGGCAAAGTTTATATGCAAAAAAACTACATATATAATTTTGCATATGATTATATATTATCAATTTTTTCCCCGGGTGATTTACAAATACGAGAGCAGGATGCTATGTAATTTTAGACACTCATTTTGTACATTTTACAACGAGTTTCAATTGGAGTCATATTTATATGTGTACATCGTAACAATATCGTTATTGACATGCTCAGATACATATTTATGTTTGTTGCGAACTTTATATCTGGTTCTCTTCAGCGTAACTACTTCAGCGCAATATAATTTTCACATGGTGTGTATTCAAAGGAAAGTAGTATACACGTGAAAATTACATTAGAAATAATGTGTCAATGTGTCGTACATGTAACGTACTGTATCTGTAAGGTTTTAAAATATCACAAAAATACTTTTAGCGAGATTATATTCTTTTTCTCCCCGACACACATACACACACACACACACACACTTACAATATTATCTCTTAAAAGTAATTTGACGGGCACGTTATAAAAACAGCGGCTAACTTTAAAATAGGAACATATTCACGTGTATAACTGCGTGTACACAGATCCAATCGATATTAAAGATAAAAAAGAGTGTATAATCTTACACGAGAATAATATCCCCCCATCGTAATTTCGGTCATTGTTAATGATTTGTCAATTGTTTACGCACGGTTCTCTACGGCCTTGAATTTCTGCAACTAAACGATTTATTTTGCAGTGGGCAGTGTTACACATTAGCTGTCTCTTTTACATGTTGGTATCCGTTATGCGAGGAGAAGCTTGATGTTCAAGCTCGTCGTCGTGACTAGACAATTGTAGCAGTATATCACATATGTCTCGTAACGGTTACGGCAATTAAAATGTGCTATGTTCTCGTCGAAGTCATTCCCTCGTGGAGGGGATCGTCCCTATAGAAAAGAAACTGTCGTAAGTCGTTTCTTGGAAACGCCCGTTCTCTCGTCGCACACTTTGCAGACATACTGAATTGCATTGAATATTTATTACATATAACACACTTGTACACCATTTTTAAGTCGCGCAATATAACGCGTTGTTACAATAGTAGCAATACAATAGAATATCTTCATTGGTATTGTACGTTTTCTCTTTATAAAAGTATATCTGAATATCCGTCTCTCTCTCCCCCCTCCCTCCCTCCCTCCCTCCTCTTTTTCTTTCAAATAGTCTTTTAAAATTTGCCGTGTGTTTAATTCGTGCATCAGAGATCCACGTATTTTTTAAGTAAACGTGCGCGGTATAAATCGTTATTATTATCTCAATGGTCGGACTTATTTCTGCTAAAATTTTTTTAACAAATTTCCCTTGTGTAAAAATAAGCACACATATACACACACACACATACGCGCGCGCGCGATGCGGCTCACGGAGGTATGACAGCGAACATTCACTTCGTGAAAATGAGCTCAAGATATGCTTAGAACATAGGTAACAGTTCAGTATAACCTACTGATAAATGGTACTGGTACAAGAAAATTTACAATATCACATGATCGAACATTTGAGAACAGAGGAGTTGCAGATTCACGAAATTAACGATCTTCTCCATATCTACGAATAAAACTTGATGGCTTAAAAAAAAGATCTACCGTCCATTGTAAATTAATTGTCGTAAAGTTAGAGTGTATAAGAAAATAATTAGTCTAAGTAACTTAAATTGTTGTACGTATCGAATATTTCAGCCCGAATTTCATCCGGTCATATTGATCTACATTTATCTATTTATTATCTATATTTAGGCATAATATATTTTATATCGGTTATCCATAAATGGGAAATACTATTTCCTGGGAGGAAGCCGATTAATTCGGTCGTGCAATGGATCTTGAAATCATAATATTGCTACGTCCGTGCTTAATCACACAATCACGTAGAAGAGACCGTCTTTTCTGCATCATTTTTCTCTGTCGCCAACAGAGCATTTTTTCCGACCGAGTTTGAGTACAGTACTCGGGATGAAATACTCGTTACATACATCGGTTAAAAACGTCACGACGTCAATTTAATCGCGCGAGCACATCAATGATTAGTAATTAATAATTATATTTCTTTCTCGCTTTTCGCTATGATGATTTGCGCCAATATTCGTTATATGGCGTCGGTTGTCAGACGAAAATAATACTGCTTGTGTTCCTTTTTATCACGCAGATACATGCAGCCGATTATTAGTAGAACTAGTAAAAGTACCAATACTATAGATAACGTCAGGGTCGCTGGAACAAACGAAAAACGGTAATTGGAATTTCAGATGAGCAATCGAAGTACACAAAGACGAATAATTACTTATAACTACTGCTGCGTTTAGGTTGTACTCGTATTGTTCCGTCTTAAATAGACATTCTCGTTCCCAGTCCTCAGGTACAACATCTTTAGTCAAAGTAATAAAATTGTCTAAAGGGCACAACGTAGTACAGCCCGGTAACGTCATAAGTATCGGTTCCGCGCTACTATTCTTGTAAGAAACCTACGGATACACATATAAAAATATATGAATCTTATAATTAAATATATATATATATATATATATAACCTTGAAATAAATATATATGTATATATACATAACTTCACTTTAATGAGAAAAGTGTACAAATATTAAGCAAAAATACGTACCGTTACAAAATACTGGTTTTTGGGGTTTGTCCTTAACTCTACGAGAACCGTGGCGACATAAGGTGGACAGTGCGGCTCAAATAACTTGAGGGTCATCAGCAGATTTGCGATAGTTTGATCATGGGCACTGTATATCCACACTTTTCTGTCGGGTTCCAACTCATTCTGCGATTTCTTTACCATGTGGTCTATCATTTCCCCAAGCAGTGGACCTGTGACATCACAGTTAAATGCCAGTAACCGAGAACATGTAATTAAAAAGTCGCCCATAATCACCTGATTTCAACCTCTGAAGTATCTGGTTGTACGCGTCAGTTGTGAAACTGAGCTCAGCGAGAGGCTTCATCTTATCCGGAAATACTGACCTTGTCCACGGTGGTAGAGTTTTGTTGTATAAATTCTGCAAGATAAACCGAACTTCTTTACCTTATCTTTGCCTCTCAGACCAGCGACAACGGACAAATCATTTATCTCTCGTATCGATACGAAGCAAATATGCTTATCAGAACGCACCTCGATATACAAGGTATTGTACAAATGTTCGACATTCTCCAACGAAGAAACTTTATAGCCGGTGTTCTGGGACAAGTAGCTGTAGAGCTTCGCGTTCGCCTGATTTATCCGCTTCCTTTCCGGCGACGTCAGGACTTTCTCCAGCTCGTACTTGTAGCGCGCACAGTATTTCTTGCCGCTCAACACGTGATCTTGCTCCTCTGGAATGGTGTGTACCGGAATTGGCATCCACTTGATACGGTCCCAGACTTGGTCCCTCACCGGTGGGTAGAGTCCCGCTAGATTCGCCTCGGCCGACATCAACGTGCGGTCCACGTCCGTACTGCGGACGCAGATATCGTATCGCGAGTAAACAGCGGGCAGGAGATCGGAGTATCGTTTCCGCAGCCAACGGCCAAGAAGCAACTGCTGGTGTTTACCAAGCTGTATTTCAAAAGAAAACAAACATCAGTGTCGGTACAGTTGGTACGTAGGTCCTCAAATGCAGGTGCAAACGGCAGAGCGATCTTGAAAATCCATCTAATGCATCTTAGCGCGAGAATTTCACTTTTTTTTCCTCCTTGTTTAAATTTATACTCGTTACATAAACACTCGTGTAGCAGCGGTGCCAAGGTTCAAGCGTTGTGCCAACTCAGGTGTATCAAATTTCACGGAGCGACATTATCTTGAGGAGATAAGAAGCGGAGAAAAGACAGTGTCACGAGACACTTCTCTTTGTTCTGCCTGACTACGACCAGCCAGATCGTGTCGATTGCAGTCGAGACACACACCATTCCATGGCTTATACTCACATTCGTCAATTCTCCATATGGAACCGGCCAGGAAGTCTCCTTGCGATAAGGGTCGGTCGGATAAGGAGCGATAGGAGTTCTATCGCCATGTCTGTATAACTAGAAATACACATAACAGAACATATTAGATAAGCCTCGAGTTATTATACAAGTAGCTGATGCGTCACAACAAGAGATAAGGATGCTTTTAATGTTTAACCCACACAGTTTAACATTCAACAATAAATTTCGAAACAGATAGAGAAGAAACAACGCAATAGGTCTGAAGTCTCACAAAGACGTCATAAAGTGATCGATGGTACGCAAAACGTCTGGAAATGAATCTTTAAGACGAGTCTCGATTTTGGATATTGCGTTGCCCGGGAATAGTGATGAATGATATCGGTAGTTTTCAAGGGAAAGGTACTTACAACGTTTGCGAAAACGATCGTGCCCAGGTCTTCGGTGGTGGAGTGGCTCGCGGCGAAAATACTCGCGAACACGAGTAACGTCAGTCTGCTGCTGTTCATCGCGAGAGCGGCGAATATCCTTTCACTCGACCGTCGGTGTTCGAGCGCTTTTCGAGCAGTAACCTCACGTGGACTTTACACGTGACATCGGTGAGTAAACCTTGAACGGCGCAAGAGAACACGACGGTTATAATTTACGGAGAATACCGTCGCGCGATGTCATTTTCGTGGCCGCAAACGACGCAACCTCCATGCCAGTCCGTCCGTACGCGAGGAGCGTGCCAGTTTCGTCACGCTTTTATTATTGTTGTGTTTGTATGGTCACGAGGCTGTGCGAGGTGGAGGGACGACAGCGGGTGAATGCTTATTGGCCCTCGACGTCGACTGAATTTTCAAAATAGATAACGAGTCGGTAATATTTGCTCGATTTTAATCGTTTGCAACGCCTTTATTATCGTGACCGTAGTTTTGCATTATCTTCACGTTAGAACCTTCGGCGCAAATGCATATTTTTGGATAAAATATACCGACGTTCGCTAAAAGTAGGACGACATTCTGAGAAGTTGCTGTCACGATAACATTCCGGGACGATCTCTTGAAATATTGGAATAGTCTCGCAATGTTACGACTTTGTGAAGTAACTTCGTTTATTTTTGATTAATTTAGTAATGGTTTATTTTGTTTTATTAATAGTTTATTCAGTTATTGATTGAAGGAGCTTCTATACAAGTACACTGTCAATAATTAATCATTCGAAATTTTGCAAAATCGTAAAGGACTTTCTCTTCAATCCATTCTATATCCACCTTTGCCCCTGTTAATCCGGGACACCATATATAGTTTTAAAGGTTCGGACAAAACCGGTTTTTCCAATTTTCCAGTTCTCTTCGATTTGCTTCCGTGGTAAATGTGAAAAAAATTTTTTCGAGACTTCAAAACTATAAATATATATAATGATTATACATGAGAAATTTTTTATCAGGAATGTGGGTTGCCTCACTTCGCAAATTTCGACGTTTCGATTTTATGCATGTCCACCGAACTTTCAAACTTTAATGAATCTTCGGATACGTTATCAAAGTATCACGCTGCCGCATATTAATATTAATGCATATTAATATTAATGCTGCATATTAATAACTTAAAATTAAGATTTTGAGACGATTCTGCTTTGACCTCATTTGAATAAGAAAGTTGAAGTTTAGCAATTTAATTGAACAAAAAGTCAGGCCTTGGCATTTAATATGCGTGCGTGTTATCGGAAACAAGTTGTCGAGAATAAAATTAAATATATTTCTAGAAACAAATTAAATAAATTGCCGCTTCTTGACTAAACGTGCAATATTTTTTGCAATACTACAGTAATAGAAAAAAGTGCACGTTAATTAGAAAGGATGAGATAGCAGGAATATTAACTATTGAGATACAGGATAACTTGACACGGAAAAATTGACTCACTGGATATGTTGCGAGTGCGAAAAAATATTCGGCAGGTGCGTTATCAACTACAAGGCCTGTTTAGTCGAACCAATACTTGTTCCTTTTCCCTTCAATGTTATAAATTACATATATCTTTCTTTCTTACGGTAAAAGATGCAGTCTAGTTCGGTCGAGAAAAAAGACTGGTCACCGTCCCCCTATAGTTTAAATATTCACGTTAATAATAGCGATCGGCTTTTATTCTGACCTTCTCTCGCTTCCTTCCGTTAATTGGAAAACCTGTTTGCGCGATTTGCTCATATTTTCATGTTTAATCGGAAAAGAGATATTATGAGAGCGTCCTATTTCCAACGGCTCATGGCATCTTAGACGTTATTTAAACGTGACTTGCTATCCGTAGAAAGGTCTAAGTCCTCTCTTAGCTGTACTTTCTACACTCGTTCTCCTTCTCACTTCTTTACTTTCTCTTTGCGCGAGAAAAATCTAGAAACTAAGAGGGACGGGGCGATGCTCTTACCACGCCACAAGGAAGTCCGTTCAGCGGAACAACTCCCGCTCAGAAGTGAGAGGAGTCGGTGGGAGGTGTTCAATTTAAGATATAATTAGAAATTTATGTATTTCTCATATTCCACCTATGTACATCAAGCTCGCCGCGAGCTCTCGCTAGGTAAAAACTGCACCGTAAATGTAAAAGTTTCGCACGTTGATCACGACGATGTCGCCATTGTAATGCCGGGTGCGTGGACGCTTTGAGCCCCCCCCCCGTTTTCTTAAAAACTCGTTACATTACACGTAGAATATACAGTAGAACAGTAACCATCACGTACGCTTTAACGTGTACAAAAGAATTTGCTTTCCCCGTATGTGTATGTGTGTGTTTATATTACAACTTACGAATATATAATTATTTATATTATAATACACATACAATTCCACCTTTTAGAAACCACTGAACTATATCATTGTATTTTACATAGTTTATTCCGTAAGGTCGCGCACTCTCTCCGAAACACACAGAGATCCTCGGTAACCGGTCCGAGAGATCGTCTTCGATCCGCCGGTGGTTAGAAATTTAGAGAGGAAAAACATCGAACCGAGCCACCGAGGCTTGCGTTCATGAAACTGTAAGGTCAAGTTGATGCAATTGCAGATTACAACGGCATCCGAACTTTCGCTGTGAATCCATCGAGCACTGCTCGCTCGACAGACAATTTGCAGTCGGGAGAGAAAGTGCGTGACCTCTTAAACAGGTCACACACACACATATATATATATATATATGTGTGTGTGTAAAAATGTACAGAGAGACCGACCTGGTTACGGTATTATCACAATTCACGTTTACGAACGTAATCGGAGATTGTATTAGGATATAGTGAGAAAATTGCCCTGCGAGAGAATCTCTGTACGTCGTTCCTCAACTGAAAATCGCCGACCCGATCGATGAAAGCGGATTCTCAGCTGCATGAGAGTAATAACCGTAGGATCACAGTTTTCGTTGGCGGTAGCGCTGCGTGGCGTTGATCAGCATATGAGCGAGGAATGGCCACAGGATTAATACGGCGAACAATCGAGGCGAGCACTCGTGGAACGGCCACCAGCTCGGGTGTGCGCGTTTGCCGGTGTACACCTGAAGAGAAAAAGAGGCACGAATGATTTCAGCACTTTCATATAAATTTGTCAGTCCTTATTGCGTATCCCTAATATTTCGTATGCGATTTCACATCTCAGCTGTGTGCACACATGTGTCCAAATCTGAAGAAAGTGAAATATGCCGAGTGAGACGTACGCTTTGCGGCGCCAGCGCTTGCAAGGCTCGCCCTTCTAAACTCCGTACTCTGGTGGTCACTCGGTCGAGATCTCTCTGGAGATGCTGCACGGTCGTGGCGATCTGATTGAGGAACTCCGCGTTGAATTTGTCGTCTTTCTTTGTTCTCTGTCTACCCCTCTCCCGCTTACCGTCCGCCGCGGCGTCCACCGCGTGGCCGTTAGCGTTACTGTATCCATTAGTTAATTCAATGTTCTCCGTCACTACAGTGCTCTCTGTATTCGAATTATCAATTCCGTTATTTGCCGTCGTTTGTACCTTTTGAGGACAAGTAGAAGATTTTAATGCGTCTTTCTGCGATCTCTCCGGCGCGGACTGGAATGAAATGGGATTAATGTTGCTAATCGAACGATCATAAGGGAAAGAAAACAACAATCCCGTAATTCGTATCGCGATAAGCTCGAGAGCTAGAGTTACGTTCTGCGAGGAGATGATGATGACAGGGCGCGGCTAGAGAGCGACACGATGATACGCACCTCGACGGTATCTATAAATTCCTCCTCTTCACCGTCAGTGTCCTGCGGCAACGGGCTCGCGGTGCGGCTGCTGGTCGGGCTGGTCTCCAAACTGCTAGTTATATGTCGCGAAGCGTTGCAGACCCTGTGGGGTGACGTTTCTCTGGATGCTGACGGACGAAAGAGACAAATTCAACGGAGACTGAATCGAGCGAGAGAGAGAGAAAGAGAGAGAGAGAGAGAGAGAAGAAAGGGGGAGAGAATGATACTTGCACGGAGGATACACGCGTTTCTCGCTCGCCGTTATCGGGGCTGATAATTTCGATGCTAAACAAGAGAGTCGAGTTCTCGTATCAGCGAGATATGAGGTCCCCCGATAAGTTTGTGCAAAGTCGGTTCATCACTTGGAACTTTCGAGGCACGTTTCGTTGTGCGTGTGGAAGAAATAAAAAGAAAGAAACGAACCCAACGGCGAGCCGGATAACGGTGAACCCGGTTGGGAGCGCATACGCTCCAGCACTGGTCCCACGAGCAGCTCCAAATCCTCGGTCGGCACGCTCTCATAAAACGAGTCCAAACTGCCGAGAAAAGTCGCCACGTTGTCCGTGTAAGACATAGTCTCGACGATCTGTGAAGTAACGACGACGTTTTCATTTGACACAGATATGCGCGGCCGGTCGGTCGCGCGATTCGATTGCGCGACAAACGGTGGTGCGTCATGAGGAGACACGTACTCTCTTTAATTCCTCCACGTAATTATTCATGGCTTCTGTGCGGCTCATGTTACCGAGACGCGTCCAGGCGTCCCATTTTGCCTTCTTCACCACCTCCCAGAACGCGGGTTTCGACTGCTGGCAGGGCCCTTCGGTCGCCTGCTTGAAGTACGAGTAAAATCGCAGCATGATCTCGTGGCTCGGCTGGTACGCTCCTAAAAAATATTTATGCGATGTGTGCTTCTAATCGTAAGGATTATGTATGTGTTATATAAATGATATGATGTATAAGTAAAATTATGTAGAGCGGAGCCGATCCTTCTGCGAAATATGATCCTTTATTCAGCAGAACAAAATTGTATCTTCGATAAGCGATCGGAAATTATTGGCATCCATGCAGAACACGGCAGGCCTGATTAGCGTTTTCTAACGCTATATTAATATGTAAGAAGGCCAGAGCTGAACGAGAATAAAAAAAAAAGGACACCTCTCTGTCACTTAGCCTTGACACTTTGACTCTCGAAAGCGATCTCGCGAATAAACCGCGATGCAATCGCGGTTTGCTTAACGAATGTCGATTCTTCCCGCGTGTATCACCGCGCAATATCCCCGGCGATATTTCTACGATTCCGATTGCGACTGGAAAAATCCTAGGTAGACTCGTAATCTTGATAGAACTTGCAATTCTAGAAAGTGATGCTCCAGAATGTGAACGTTGCTGCGTAGAAGATAATCGCCAGTTGTTTTAGCAATTGTGAAAGTCGTTCCCCCCAACAAATTGATCAGATCGGAATTCAACAATATGTAACAAAATATATTTCAGCATTATTATATTCGATCGGCAGATCGGTGTTGTTGATAGGTTGTCCGCACATGTATTTACACGCATTTATCTGTTGAAGCACGGCATAAACATGCGGAGAAAAAAGAAAGAAGTCAAGCTGACTATGCGTAAATTCACGAGAACGGATGAGAAAAAGGTAATCGCCGGTAACATGTCAAATATCGCGGGTGAAGTGCGAGGAAACAAAAGGAAGGAAACTTCGTTTCTGATTTATATGTCGATTTGACGATAATTAAAGCGCTTGTTAACAGAGTTTTATAACTGCCAGTGCAATGCGAGCGATTTTTGCGAGCAGTGAAGAGGAACATTCTAGTTTTAACCACAAAGCATGGTTCAGCTAGACTTGCGCCGTTAGAAAGTAAAGTGGGAGTAATACAGTCACTTCGCCATATGAAATGACTGGAAAGTACACCTATATGCAATATTCGACATCAAGGCCAAAATGGCAAGGAAAACAGCGGTGAACACAATCGGCACCGAAGCAACGTTCTATGAAAGAGTACAGTAACTGGTAAAAAAAAAAAAAAAAAAAAAAAAAAAAAAAAAAAAAAAAAAAAAAAAAAAAAAAAAAAAAAAAAAAAAAAAAAAAAAAAAAAAAAAAAAAAAAAAAAAAAAAAAAAAAAAAAAAAAAAAAAAAAAAAAAAAAAAAAAAAAAAAAAAAAAAAAAAAAAAAAAAAAAAAAAAAAAAAAAAAAAAAAAAAAAAAAAAAAAAAAAAAAAAAAAAAAAAAAAAAAAAAAAAAAAAAAAAAAAAAAAAAAAAAAAAAAAAAAAAAAAAAAAAAAAAAAAAAAAAAAAAAAAAAAAAAAAAAAAAAAAAAAAAAAAAAAAAAAAAAAAAAAAAAAAAAAAAAAAAAAAAAAAAAAAAAAAAAAAAAAAAAAAAAAAAAAAAAAAAAAAAAAAAAAAAAAAAAAAAAAAAAAAAAAAAAAAAAAAAAAAAAAAAAAAAAAAAAAAAAAAAAAAAAAAAAAAAAAAAAAAAAAAAAAAAAAAAAAAAAAAAAAAAAAAAAAAAAAAAAAAAAAAAAAAAAAAAAAAAAAAAAAAAAAAAAAAAAAAAAAAAAAAAAAAAAAAAAAAAAAAAAAAAAAAAAAAAAAAAAAAAAAAAAAAAAAACTAGACGTTAACTTTGTAACTCATTATATAGTTTTTTTTTATTCAAGAAAAAACCCGTTTTCTTCCTCACTTTTCCGCGAATTTTTTTGGTTTCTTGTCTTTTTTACGGAAAAAAGAAAATATCTCGGGTTTTAACCGAACACGCGTGAATTTTTCTAAATTCACGTGTAAAATCCGAGGAAAAATAGAAAGAAAAACGATTTTCTCCCGTAATTTTAAGATTGAAACATCGTTATTTCCTATTTGAATCTTGTAACTATAAACTATACAACATATTAATTTCCCGGCTTGAATATTATTTTCGGCTGAAGTCGGGCAGATATTTACACGCGAGTTCGCGATAGGACGATCGTAAAAAAGCAGACAGACCACTTCTCGACAAAAGAGGAAGTGAGATGAAGATAATACGCATCCCGGCGCTAGTTTCTTCTCGCCTCTCGAAACCTGTTGCGATTGTTTCGTTGTATCTTTTTATTCCGGTGCTTACATTGTAAGAATAGCAGAGGATCCTGGAGTCGTTATTATGTTTTACTGCAAATTTGCGGGGTTGGGAAAGTTACTTTTAAAAAATAATTCATTACCGTTACTCGTTACCGTTAGTTAGGAAATGACGAGTCATTAAAATTTCATCGAGTTTTGAGGGTCCTTTTTTAGAATTCGCTTCTGCTCGTTTCATATACACCTATATTGCGTAACGCGTGCAAAGTAACCATAAAAATAACGATTATATTCGTTACCGTTATCCAAGAAACGTGACATTACCGTCACTAATGAGAAAATGTCGTTACCAAATCGTTACAGGAAAAAAAAAAGAAACGATAACAACGTTGTAAATAACTCCGTCGTTACTTTCCAATTCAGCAAATTTGTTAGTTCTATACTCGTTACCGTACGCGCAGAATTAAAAATCCTACCGCACAATTACAATACACACGTTAATGTAGGCGAAAACGGTTGGCTTCATTCGAAAGACGAGAAAAAGTTAACGAAACCTTTTTTTTCGAACAAAAACCACCGTTTCCGCCCGCATAAACGCGCGCATCGTGAGGGAGAACTTTTAATTATGCACAGTCAGTAACGAATATGACGTGAAAATATTCGCGCTAAACAAGGGCGACTGCAAGACTCATCTCAATGCTCGTCGGCTCATTATCATAACAAAGCCTCGAGTAATGACGCGGTGTGTCGAGCGTCTCGGCGAGTGATATTAGAATACGACAGTTACGATTAGTAATCGCATAACACGATATAAAGACCGGTTTCAAAGGTTGAGCCGTTTCTTCCGCCAGGTTTTCGTAACGATCTCGCGCGTATCGCCGGGCGCGCGCGAATAATCGTCGTATCCTCTCTCGTGCGTTTTTTCCGCCGCGCCGACGAGGAAGTCGCACGACGATTCAGAGATCGAATTTTTGATATCGCTTTCGACGTCGCGCGCGCGAGCGAGCAAGAAGTTACATTCACTTTCTTCCCCGGCTATCCGATCCCGTGAATTTCTCTGCTCGGTCACATTGGCGCTGGCTTGCTCGCAAAATCCGTCCTTGTTTCCAATCGGAAGCGACGGAAAAGTACAGGGAGGAAGCGGCCCGAGGAGACGGTGTCGTCAAGTTTCGAAAGTGTGTTTCAACGCGCGCCCGAACGCTCGCGACGCTGTCCTTCGACCGTCCGTCTTTCAGCTCTGGACGGAAATTCATTTACGATCTCGTTACGATCTCATTACCGTACATCTACTCGGGATACGACGCACGCAAACCTCGTGAATTCGACGAAAGGTCAATATCCGCTCGCTGCGTAATGGGCACGCAGTGGAAAGGGAGAAAGAGAGAGAGAACCTTGAGGTGCGAGTCGCCGCGACTAAACACGATTTTTCGACGTGCGTATATGTGCTGACAAGGAAAGCGAAATTACACGCTGCGCCACCGTGCTGAATTTTAAATGCCTCTTTCTCTCTATCTACCTAATTATCTATCTCTTTATCTCTCTCTTTCTCTCTTGTATGAGGCTAGCAGTCGTCCCGAGGTGCCAGCGGGGAACGATGACGACGGCAAATATCAGGCCGTGGACTTTAGTCGATACGCAATAACGCACCGGCCGTCGATGTGCGGCCGAAAGGAAGAGAAGCTGGAAAGGAAAAGAAATCAACAAAGAGGGGAAAGCGATCGCGTAATATCGCCACCGCCGCCGACGCTGCGGATATCGGTCGTTCTCGTCGTCGAGAGTGAACACGATGAACTGTAGATGGGCAGACGAGTAAAAGTCATACGTGGATAGATAGGTGAAGGTTGTCTCCCCTCTAAGGATCGCCGTGACAAGCGCGGTGTGCCCGGCAACGCGACGAAAACATACAGGGGGATCGTTCGCGACACTTTTTACCATTTTTCGGCAGGCTCCTGATCACGTTCACAGCTGCGTTGAATTTCTCTTCCGTCGTCATGTTTCCCTGGTGAACGCGGACGGGCCGCTTCTAGTCAGGTCTTGGCGATAAAGCGCGTCTCTCTCTCTTTCGGCCTCCTCCTTTTCAAGTGCGGGCGCTTCTTTTGTCCTCCACGAAAAGCACACCGGGGATCAGCGCGACGAAATGTACCCGGGCGACGGCGAGCGACGACTACCGCTGACAGCGACTCGTCTACTTCGAGAATCGAATCATCGAACGATTACCAACTGCCGCGAAACTCCCCGCGAGGAGAAACCGATTGACAATTGATTATCGTGCGGCAACCGCGCGACGTATACGACGAACCTGGACCAACGACGCCACGACGATGACTGACGGATTCTAATAAATTTATCGCCGCGGGCTCACCGATTGGCGATTGGCGATCGCCCGTTCAGCGTCTCGGCGACGGCACGCATGCGCTGGCCGCTAATTCAAGTTATTCTTTCATTCGTTCTTTCGTGCCCGCCGAACGGGGGGATATGTATGTATGTGCGTACGATTTTGGAGTTGCGATTACTTGCGAGTTACCATCTCAATGTTCTCGAGTTACGATACATTTTCGAGTCATGAAGTTACTCATGATTCGAATATACATGTAATCAGACACGGTGTTCGCGACACTTAATTTTTCTACAAGATTCGGAACGCACCCCGTGTCCAATAAGAAAATTCGATTTTTAGTCATTCTCGAGAGGCACATTTTCCTATTGGGCGTACAAGATGCGTTGCGAAACCCATCGGAAAAAAGTGTTGCAACTTTGACCACGCCGATCGCGCGAATAGTGTGACGACTGTGTCCTCGACGAAATGTGATCAAATTTTTAATTGAATTGCAAATTTGAATTCGCAGCTTGATAGACGTGACGGAGCATTTTTAATGTACCCCGCTGGTCAGGCGGCGCAAAATTTGCTCGGCAATGCGGTTGCATTCGATTAAATTGCACCCTCTGCACTTTCTCTCTCGCCCTTTCTCCTTTCTTCGCCGGAGCTGAGCATACGTATATATGTACACACATACACATGTGTCTCCACCTCATTTTTAACTTGCAGGAAAGTACATTTGCGCTATTGACCTCCTTCTGCCACAAAGTTCACTCGATGTTTACACCTTGCACTCTTCGCACTCTCTCCATCTCTTTCCCCTTTATAAACGCGTATGCGGGTATCCTTTTCACTTGAAGTGTAAAAAGTGTAAAAACAAACCTATGGAACGTGTAGTCGTACTGGCTTATGTGAAAGACGGCCCGTGTGACGCACGTAGGTGTTCGTTTAGTTTTGCAAACTGTTCAACGGTGAGTACGGTGTAAAAAAACTCTTGCCAATGAGCTTTGCTTTCCAAAGTGACCCATCAAACATGTGTTTCTAACGTATGTCTTTCTTCCTCGCCGACAGGTACAATTGTCAAAGTTGCAAAATGACTTCGTTCGGTCGCGGTCGTGGGTGGTTTCTTCAGAAGAAAGAACAGGGTCTTCGTAGACCGGGAGGTGTATTTTGCACCAATGATGCCGTTAAAGACATATTGAACAAGTTAAGTACCAACGGTACTTGTGAACAAATCTCACCACAGCTGGTTCAGGAGATCATCGACGTGATGACTAACGCGAGCAGCAAAGAGAACCTCAGGTATTATACAGTTCCTAGTCTTGCAACAATTGTTTTATCGCTCCTGAATGCAACATCTCGTATGTTAGAGAAACATGCGACATGCTTTGGAAACAATCCGTGATGAACGACACCTTCACCATGAAGATGGCGATGGTATTCAGTGATAATAAAGTTGCCCTCATAGAAGATACCAATAAAGAGACCATACGGTCTCGTTTCCTACGTTTTCTGCAGGATAATTATATGTGCAAGTATCATGTAAAGTTTTCTCGATTGTCTTATGTCAATATCGATGTTATTCTATATATATATATATATATGTTTGTGTGTTGTTCTTTTAGCTAGGGAGAAAAATAAAATGGAGGACAAGAAGACATTTGCAAATATTGTTTTACTTCATGCAGAAGTTTACTATCATATGAGACTGAATAATGGTAGTAGATTGAAAATATTGGCTTTACCATTGATTCACTATTTAGGAGATTTGATAGAAGATAGTGTCGAGGAAGAAAGTATTCACTTCATCATGATACAGGTGTGCTAAAATCTACATTGTGCGGATTTAGTAAAAACAGCACCTTACAATTGTGTGAAGTTACTTTTCCTTCAGATACTCAGATCCGGTAAAAATCTTTACACAGCGTGTCCGGAACAACTTGTGGAGTTTATAATAAAAATTAAGCAAGCATTGATTAAAGAAAAGAGCGAACATTCTCGAAATCGTGCAATGTTATTGCTAGTGATCGACTTAGCTAATAACCACTATGAAATTAAGGACACACGCCTGAGGCAGCTTTACACTTCGAATATTAAAACGCTCATTTTCGAATATCCATTTTTCAAGAAGGAATTAGAAGCGGACACAGAGACGAAGATTGGAAATGGTAATGATGACTTGTCAAGCATTGGGGGATGTGTTGCAATATGTGAATAAAAGTTTTAGGCAATGATCTGCCAAAGAACATGCAAGAAGTTGACAACGTCCCTCCTCATCGAATTGCAAAAGAAGAGATGAACGATCTTTGTAATAAACAAAGCCATCATTCAAAGGGTCATCATGTTCCAAGAGCGATACGTGGAACGGGTGCATTAGATACTAAAAAAGAAGATGATGTTAACACAAAGCTGAACTCCATGAAGATCACGTCTCCAAGGCAGAAGAACGCAGACTTCTGGGATCATGACGATAGATTTCACAAAGATTACGAATAGTGTGTGTGTGCAAGGTAAAGATTTACATTTCTCAGCTCGTGTAAATATATCTATATATATGTATAAAAATGGAGTATCTTTCTTTTTTTAAGCATATATAAAATTCCTCATACGGTGTTCTCTCTCTATATTGTAGAAACGTTATCCACTGACTTAACGAATAATTATAAGTAATAAAAAAAGACTACAACGAGGATGTGGAATGAGTGACATATATTGATTGGAATGTCACATACTGATAAATATGGACGTGATTAAAACAGCAGAAAAACATAATAGATTTGTTTGTTCAGCTGTATTTTTCCGCAGGTTTCGTCTTTTTATATTTCCGACACTTCATTATGTACTCCTTTTGAGTACACATGAAGTGTACAGTCAAAGAAAGGGAAAATAAAGCTACTCTTATATCTACATTAAGGTAGAAATAAACGTAGATATACTCTGAATGTGATACATACTCTGTTATTATTTGCAATGTTTGCTGTTTTGATATTTGATTGAAACTTTCGGGGGCGATGATATACTTTTTATAAAAGATAGCGCTGCTAAGATACTCGTGTATACAATGTAGGTAAGAGAGACTGCAAGATTTTACTGATAAATTTGCGACGTTCTGAGAAACAGAACTTAAACTTCAACGACAACTAATATTGTCTACTTCAGCTAATTTGGATTTTGTTTTTTTTAAGTATATTTGCTAAGGCTGGGCCGCGTCTTCTCCAGGATTGATAATTGATAAAGAAGCTCGCGTGTGTCATCATTTTGTTACTTACAATATCAGTAGAACTTATTGAAACTACATCCACGTTTATATGTGAATGTACAATATATATATATACTTACTTCGACGTATCGATAGAATTAATCTAAGGGCATGATTTTTTGTAAAGTCATGTATCATGTATCATGTCAATCTTTCAATAATAAGGATATACCGATTCCATTTTATATCTTCATTGCAGCGTAATACTTCAGTTTTCTTTACACGAACCGATGTGAAACTTCTCGCGGAATGCCATACACGATATATACGTGCGCGATATCACGCAAATAGACCTCGGTATGACCAATTTATCGTTCGAGTTTCCCGCCCGAACCCACCTGAGTCACGTGACCTTCCCGTCTGAAGTTCGGTCATTCGAACCGCGCGTCGTGTTTCGGAGCTGCCCCGGAACAGCTTCGCGGCTGCAAATGCGCGTCACGTGTAACAGGTAGAACGCAAGGTAAACAATTGGGAGTGCGGACGTTGCGAGAGGTGAAATCGACAAAAAGATAATTTTTCGAGCGAGCGACGGGGGGGAGGAGACGAAATTTCGACGGAGCGCCGAGAGCGCTCGGCCGAGATGGACGGTTCGTCCAACCGGATGTCAGATTCGGGCGCCGGGATCCTTCCCTCCTCCATTTCCCGTCGAGATTCGATTTCGGCAACATGTCCGCGAATTGACCGACGCCGCCAGGTGTATATACGGTGAATTCAAAACTGTCGAGCCACGCGTCTCGTGTCATATTACGAATCATGCGCGATCATCGCCGCCGTGAGTCGCACTTTCGCCACGATCTGTAAGTACGCTCCGGCTCGCTTGCACTTCTCCGTGAATCGCCGACGAATGCGCGAGTGTTTGCACGCAGTTGTCTCGACGCGGCGCGGCTTAATTGCGGCGAAGTTGCATCGTGCCGAATCGAACCGAGTCGTTGGTCGCACCGAGCATCGTCGCGGCTTTGAACTCACGGTTACCCTCGGTTTCAAAAATTTCACAAACGCCTCGCGTCTCACGATGTTCTTTCAGATGGCTCACGTGTGTGTAAACATTGCGGCATAATCTTGTTTAACACGATTCGCCGGGGATACAACGCCTCAACGTAACGTACGATCGGTGCAAACAAAGGTGCGTTTCGTTCCTGGAGGGAGGCCCGCAGTTCTCCGGGCTGTACGCGAGAATTCACGTGAGAGAAAAGAACTTGTAAGATAAGAGAGAACGAATGGAAATAATTTGTAAATTTGCCAACTGTTTCACCATATGTCCTTCTTAATTATGCTCGATGATGTATCGCTGTACTTCATCGTGCGATGGTAATACTCGATTAATATGATATAACAGTTTCAGCAGTGTGTTACATTGTCTAACCCCAGTATAAAACAGGGTTGATTCTTTTATCAATGAAACGTGATCTGTCATGTCTTACACTGAACTGGAACATGGTTATCAGGTAAACTGGATTACAAAGATACAAATATCAGGATGTGTGATCGAGTGTCTCATGAGGATCTTCTCACAGGGTCTCAAGAATGCGAGCAGACCAATGTTCTACATAGGAGATATTAATACGGTACAACCACCTATAGTAGGTCCTGTTATTCCTTCCATCTATCGTTCATCTAAAAGGGTGAGTCTGCATTTTGTCATTGAGGTCTAGTCGCAAGCAGAATTCACGCATGTCCAGGGGAATCACACAGAGCAAACTTTGGAAATGTATCTTCCATTTTTAATCAAAGCACATACTATATGTAATATTTTATTGATGTCAGACAGATAGATGTTTCGTTATGTACAATCATTACTTTCATTCGATAACGATTTGTATCTGATAATCTATCACAAGAAGCAATATTAGATAAACACAGAGTTGTATACATCGATAAGTACTTATATAATTCGAGAGAAGGATTATCCTTGAGATAATTTAAAATACGTCAGTTTACATGCTTATTTGTATATCTTGTGTTTATATTTAAAAGGTGACAAATACTTGTATTTATTTGTAAGATATTGAAGTAAACGATGATTAAGAGGTTAGAAATAGAAGACATAAGTATGTGTGTGTGTGGTTTATATGGTATGTAGATATATTTCCGGTGTTTAAAAATACAAGTGAACAGCCCATGTTTATTTACAGTATTCTCACTTTTCCGTGAAACTGCAGCAGTAGATACGATTCTTAAACAGTTTTTGCCAAGTAAATGCTTAGAGGAATTCTCTTGCTGAAACATTATTTGATATTGATGCCAAAGTGGTCAAGAAAGCATATATATTCTTATATAATAAGCTGTTAAAGGAGCAAACCAATCGACATAGGCATTATTCGTAATATATATATTTTAGGTTAATAAGTGTTTCTATCTAGCAGAATGTGAATGTAATCGGTATAAACATAGGATAAATTTTGCGCCTTCGTGATGTTTGGGCAGACAGGAATTTATCTGATTAAAATTATAAGGCAAAGTATTCGAGCTATAACGGTACGCATATGATATACGAGTGAATATTACATTTTGCAGTGAAGGCATGTAGTGCAGATATATTTTCACTTTGTTCACTCTGTGTGCGTGTGTGTAAAATGAAGATAAAAATAACACAAGTTATGTCGATACGTAGCAACTAATATTAACCGAATCATAAATTACGTCTAACTACTTGGGCTGGCAACATTATGACAACTGTTCAAAGTTTGTTCCGTTATGTAGAACATATAGTTATCACACAATGCATGAAAATCTGATTTTGTTTGAAATTGTATATTACTGGCAATTAAACTTCCCATTTTTACCAGAACATAACACACTGTGTATCGGTTTCACATTATATTGAAAGTATAAGCATGCTATCAGATATTTGAGTTTTATCACGATAGAGTTGCAATAATAACCTCGAGTGCTACTAAAGAGCAAGTTTGATGATTTGCTTTTTATTTCCTTATCATGACACACTATTGTAGTCTTTGAGTGACCAGTATTATTGACACCAACTAAATTGATTGCTTGTTACCAGGAAAGTGCACACTCAGTCCAGTAGGTATTCAAATTTTTGCGGAGATACGTAAGAATAATATCTATCCCCCCTTCTCCAAGGTGAAAGTGTGTGTTTGTCATGATATGTGTACTGTGTGATACTGTAATGTACTTCTGATTAACTATGCACATTATCTTATGTAATCGTGTCATGTATGCTCAGTAATACGTATAAAATATACATTTTGTCGGTTAACAGAGATAACGACTGGTTATAATGAAACAGAAAGAAGATACAGGAATTTTAAATAGAGGAATGAGAGCACACGATAATAATAAAAGATTGAAAAATTGGTGAAATTTTAATTCAGTTCAGAAAATTATATTCATTGAAAACACTACTAAGTTTCCGTGATAACTTATCAGATATTTAATCACAGAAATAGACTAAACATTTTTTTTCAAACAGAAGTAAGATACTTTTTTCATTCACTCATCGTACAATTGTCGCAAATTAGAAGAATTAAGAAATAGGCTTTTTATTTGCGTTTTATTTCTTCAGTTTGTAATTTTTGTTCTCTTATAACAATTTCTCGATTCTTTTATTACAGTGGTCAAAGAAAGCTCATTCCTCAGCTAATTCATTCAGCTTGTCAGCTGCATGACCGATATCACATTCCTCATTGCATTGGATTTTTAGCGAAAAGTAATAATAATCACAGAGTACAAAATAAAATGGCGACTGAAAACGTATAGATGAGAATTTTATGCTGAATCTCAGACTCAAAAGAGTGAGCGAAGTCTCACTTTCAAATTCCCATGTTTCACGCTTTGTTGCTTGATACGTATTACCTTTCTATGTAGGCGATAACGTATGCGATCAACGTGTAACTTACTTATCGAAAGCTCAAGCTAAAGAGTATAATGAGTAATCATACAAGGGTTTGCAATGAAAATTGCCCTGAAAGAAATGCCGACGACAAGCCCAGATTTCTGTCCTGCCTTAAGGCATACTGGGTGAGCACTACTTAGCTTGGAGATTTTACGATCTCTCTCGTCGCTGCTTGTTATATATATCGAAGTGTAGAAAAATTGCACATTCATTTATACAATATGAGAATTAATCCGTAAATTTCTTCGCATTTTTCACGAATTAGGCTATCTCGTTGATTTTTGACGGAAGGAAAGGCGTGTGTGGTAGTGAATTTAATTTCAAAATCTCTCTACACGTAGTCTTATAATTATTTGTGTATTATTTATTATATACATGTATATGAAAAATATTCATTGTCATCAGGACGTATATCTTGCACACGCACAACAACAGAGAACTTCTCGAGCAGTTGTCGTATATCACCAATTTTACCTTCTAGCCTGAACTGTCAGAAGGGTGCAGCAACGATGATGCTTATATGGGTAGCAGTGACGTGGAAGGGGAGGGGAAGCAAGTCTTGGTCGGGGTGTGCGCGATGGCGAAGAAATCGCAGAGTAAACCGATGAAAGAGATTTTAACGAGGCTCGAGGAATTCGAGTACATCAAAATTATTGTGTTTCCGGAAGATGTGATACTAAAGGTAGTACATTCTTCACGCTTTTGCACTCTAACGTTTTATCGGGTTCTCCTTTTTTCCTCCTTATATACCTTATTCAATATTTTCGCTCGTTTACAGGAACCGGTGGAGGATTGGCCTATAGTCGACTGCTTGATAAGTTTCCACAGCAAAGGCTTCCCACTCGATAAGGCTATAAACTATGCGAACTTGCGCAATCCCTTCATCATTAACAACCTTCCGATGCAATATGACATCCAGGTAGAGAAACCGTTGACATTGCAAGCGCCACTGTTTTTCTACCGCATATATCACACGTGAACGATTACTCTGACAGGATCGAAGGAGAGTCTATGCCATATTGGAGACCGAGGATATCGAGATTCCACGGTACGCCGTTCTCGACAGGGACTCACCGGATCCAAAACGTAAGTAACATTCATTTGTTGCATTGTAAAAGCACCGTGTAAACACACTCCCCCACCACGACTTAACGATTTCGATCGAACGGTGCACCTAGATAAGTTTAGAAAGCTCTTTTGTTGCATATTTAATCTTGACATATGCAGAATGCAGAATCTTTTTCAGATCATGAATTGGTGGAGTCGGAGGATCACGTGGAGGTGAACGGTATTACTTTTAACAAGCCGTTTGTGGAGAAACCGGTGTCCGCTGAGGATCATAATATTTACATTTATTATCCCACCTCTGCGGGTGGAGGCAGTCAGAGATTATTTAGAAAGGTATATATATATAATTTATCCTCTCTTTCTTACGTTCTAATAATTGAGATACAAAACACGTTGTGTATAAAATTTTTAGAATATGTAAATTACTTTTGTACGCGGTAAATCAATAATTCACACGCAAACACTCATCGTATTTCGTTCGTTATACAGATAGGTAGTCGTAGTAGTGTATATTCTCCGGAGTCTCGTGTTCGAAAGACTGGTTCGTATATCTATGAAGATTTTATGCCTACCGATGGTACTGACGTTAAAGTTTATACCGTGGGACCTGATTATGCTCATGCCGAGGCGAGAAAAAGTCCGGCTCTCGATGGCAAGGTCGAGAGAGACTCGGAGGGCAAGGAAATTCGTTATCCAGTGATATTGAGCAACGCTGAGAAACTTATCAGCAGAAAAGTATGTTTGGCCTTCAAGCAAACGGTATGCGGTTTCGATTTGCTGAGGTATGTGTGCGAAAAAATTACCTATTCCGCGACATAATCAGTATGAACACGAAAAATTTAGGTCCACCTTAGTGACTTTGTTGGTAAACGGTAACACGCATGCATCTGCTTCGTGCATCGCGCAAAAATGTGTATTCCAGAGTTGCCACAAACCTGGAAAAGTCGGGGCAAGATAACAAAAAATCTGGAATTCGAACTTTGCTCATAATTTCCTTAAACGCTTTCGATTGTAGTCTTCCTTCCAGTGCTCATTTACTTTTCGTTGGCCTGAATTTGCATTCAGGATTATAACGTGTTAGTAAACTTTCAAGTTTAGCAATATAATTCCTGCTTCTATGTGTTCAAGTTTAAGATTACACATTGCTCGTGGAAAATTCTCTGTCGTCTGGGAAACGTGGAAAAGTCGGGGAATCTCGGGATTCATTTTCTGTGGCAACCCTAGAATTTCCTATTTAGAACTTCAGTTAAAGTATAATCTGAAAATTGCAGTATTATCTATTCAACACTACACTGAGACGTGACACGTATACTGGCGTTTATTCGTGATTGTCCGACGCAGTTATCAGTGTCACCCTAGAACGCATATCGTATTACATACGTACGGTTACGTACGTAGCTTCGATTCTTCCTGCGACGGACGTGAACAGTCGGTATCGACACCACCGGCGAGTTCTGTCCGCGCTAGAAACGTATCGCGATTCACCGTGAGCCGTTTGAAATCGAATGCGATTGATCCAGCGCGAATATCGCTTTGTTTGCAGAGCAAACGGACAGTCGTTCGTGTGCGATGTAAATGGATTTAGTTTTGTAAAGAATTCGAATAAATATTACGATGACTGTGCCAAGATCCTGGGCAATATGATACTGCGGGAATTGGCCCCGACACTGCATATTCCATGGAGCGTGCCCTTCCAATTGGATGATCCGCCCATCGTGCCAACTACATTCGGCAAAATGTTAGTAGAGCTGCAAGTGAGAATTCGTGAACAGGTGGAAATATCGTCGTTAATGCAGATGATGTAATAGTGCCTTTCCTATTCATTGTTGTTAAACTTTAATGCACGGTTTAGGATGGAATTGCGCTGCGTCGTGGCGGTTATTAGACACGGCGACAGAACTCCCAAGCAGAAGATGAAGGTAGAAGTGCGTCATCCGAAGTGAGTACCCGGGGGAACAACTGTAGCGGTGTTTTTGCCGAGAAGTGTCGCAAACTGAAAATAAATATTGCAGATTCTTCGAGATATTCGCCAAGTACGATGGCTATAAACACGGTCACGTGAAGTTGAAGCGGCCCAAGCAGCTGCAGGAGATCCTCGACACAGCGCGTAGTCTGCTGTCAGAAATACAGCATCGTGCTGCGGGGCCCGAGCTGGAGGAGAAGCAAGGGAAACTGGAGCAACTCAAGAGTGTGTTGGAAATGTGAGTGTCAAACGGACGGTCGTAACTTTAATCCAACAAAGTTGGATAATAACTAATTACTCGGTTAAGCTAACAATTTAATAACTTTTAACTCGAACTAGTTCATTTAAAATGCATTAACTATAACTTGTTAACCTTTTTTATATATATATATATATATATATATATATATAAATATTAACTTAGTTTTATATTAAAGAAAAGTCAAAAATAACGCCAGCAGAATGTTTCTTTGCGCGCCAGTACTCTTTTCTTGCGTGGAATCCTGAGCGCACAAAACAGTCCCTACTTTTCCTATAATAGACTACCTTTCTTTTTACTTCGTATAAATTTCATCTACGATTAAAAATTATTTTATTATATAAGAATATATTTATATATAGATTGCTTTGCGCACTTAACTTTATTAAATTTATTAAATTAATTTAATCTTAACTTAGCTTTTAATTAAGATCTTGTTTAAGTAGCTTTTAATTTAATTTATTTAAAAATTAACTTATCTCACTTGAATATAATTGCGCGACCTGTGAGTTTTTTGATCGTCGATAAGTATGTGAGAAAATGATGAAAATTGTGTCTCAGGTACGGACATTTCTCCGGCATAAATCGCAAGGTCCAGATGAAGTATCAACCTCGGGGACGACCGCGGGGAAGTTCTTCCGACGACGGTAACGATCTCAGTATGGCGTGTTCACTTTCTTCCACTATCTTACATGGCTCTCCGCTGGCAGAGAGTCATGTGACATATTTCAACGGGTGTGCCCCGGGGCTGCGCTCCTCTCCACTCTTCCTCTTTTGCAGATCGATTGGGTGAGCCGTCTCTCGTCCTGATATTGAAGTGGGGCGGTGAATTGACGCCGGCTGGACGCATACAAGCGGAAGAGTTGGGACGCATATTCCGTTGCATGTATCCCGGTGGTCAAGGTAGACACCTTAGTGGTTCGTATCTTATGTTCATATGCTTGCCATGCTCGCTTTTAAGTTTCTTACACAACATCGAAGGTCACTTCTACTGTAATTTATCCTCTGTTAGCGGAACTTTGTCTACGTAATTCCGTCGCTGTCTGAGAGCCTCTGTTGTTTCCGTTTTTCCCAACCGTCGAGAGATTGAACCCGTCAACCTGAGAGTTTAAACTTTCTTAATGCCCGTTTTTGTCATCATGGATTAAACCTAATCGACGATTAATTCAAAAGAATTGACCAACCGCATTGGTTTGATTCCGTTGAATCAATCGTCGATTAAATTTATATCATGATGGTAGAAACGAGCGTTAGTCAGAGACTTAAACGCCAAGTTGAAGTTCCGTCGGACGTTGGTAGAAGTGAGGCGTTCCAATTGGCGTTACCGTAACTTGTACAAACCTTGAAAGCGTACGAACGGCTTCTTGAGATCGGCATATTGCGAGATTGAATTGCAATCTTAAATGCGACTCTCCCGTCTGTACGCGCTCTGTATTTTTGTTAGAGGCTCGACAGTAGTCAAACGAGAGTAACACTAACGCTGATCGAGTTGATCGAGTGAAATTGCCAGTGTAGCGAAGCACAACTTTGGCAACTAACGACCATATTGGCAATCATATCGTAATTCGTAGTTGGTAGTGAAAAAAATGCAGTAATTACGCCCACGGGTCGCATTAGCAGGATAATTTATCGGTAATCTATCTCCAATGTTATTTCAGAGGAAGAATCAGAGATGTTACCAAACCACGGTAACCTTTTATTTATGATCCACGCTTACTTCTCATAGTTCTCCTAAGTAGATTGTATTGCTGTCCTTAGAAATAGCGATGTTTTAGAGTCGACGGCGTAAACAGTAAGAGTATACTGTACACTTTGTTATTTCTCTCTTCGTTTTTGAATGCTTCGAGCTGCCGCTCGACTCGGCGTCCCGCCGAGTTGTTCGTCGCAGCGTTAACGAGTGGCATGGTTTTTTATCGCACTGTACACCCCACACACACCCCACACACACACCCCGCTCATTCATCTTTCGCTACACGCTTCTTTCTGCGTTTCTCAATGGATGCTTTCGTTAACAATTCTAATAGCACTACAAACACTACAGATACACATTAAATGTTATTTTGTCGTTTTCATACGAAAGACGTCGTGCACGCGCTGTACAATTACAATATACAGCTGATTGACGTGGAGAGAGGTAATCTTTTCATTAGAACCGTAACTCCCCCATCCAGGAGCTGCAAGGTAAATTCCAAGCCATTCCAAAGACATGTAAAAGCTTCGTACGGTAATTCCCTTGTTGCGGTAAGACTTTATAATCAATACACAACGCAACGTTTGATGCCAATTGATAACGATTAATGTATCTCTATGACAATATACCCTCTCGATGATCCTGATACGAGAACGTAGGTCATCCCGATAGCGGTTTTTCGAGTAAACGTCCCTATTGTTCCATGTCGTTGTGTTCTATTACCGTTACTGTGCCTCGGCGAGCCTCTTCATCGTGCTGATACCACTTCCCTTGTGTAAATGTAGGTGAATACGCAGGTGCGCAAGGACTCGGCCTGTTACGCTTGCATTCCACATTTCGCCATGACTTAAAGATATACGCCAGCGACGAGGGACGCGTCCAAATGACCGCGGCGGCATTCGCGAAAGGATTGCTCGCGTTGGAAGGAGAACTGACGCCCATCCTCGTGCAGATGGTGAAGAGCGCGAACACCAACGGCCTGCTCGACAACGACTGCGACAGCAGCAAGTATCAAAATATGTAAGCTCATCGTTATTACTAACGAAATATTTGAAGATATAACATTTAATTTTATATTCTTTATTTATACATGTTGTATCATTTATATTTTCAATTTTTACATACCGTATGTTATATAATTTTTATTATATAATAATATATATACAGTATTATTATATAATTGTTATATAGTTTTTACACTCTACATATTACATAATTTATATTTTTAATTTTTATATAAAATATTGCATTAGATAATAACTTTTATACGTTCGATATTTGTTTTAATTACAGGGTAAAGACGCGTTTGCACGAGCTGCTGCAGCAGGACAGGGAGTTCACTCGCGAAGATCGCGAGCAGATCAATCCGGGGAACGCGTTGAGCATTAACGCTGCTTTGGACTTCGTCAAGAATCCAGTCCGGTGTTGTCAGCATGTTCACACCTTGATTCAGAAGCTCTTGGACATCGTGCGCATCAAGAAAGAGGACCCGAAGACGAAGGACGCGATACTCTATCATGGTGAAACCTGGGAGTTAATGGGACGTCGTTGGGGGAAGATCGAGAAGGATTTCTGCACGAAGCAGAAACGCTTCGATATATCCAAGATCCCCGACATCTACGACTGCATAAAGTACGATCTGCAGCACAACAATCACACGTTGCAGTTTGAGCACGCGGAGGAATTGTACACGTACGCCAAGTCTTTGGCGGACATAGTGATCCCTCAGGTACAATTCTTTCCTATTATCAGTAGTAATTCCCCAGCTTTCCTAATTTTTCCTTTGTGTGCGAGTTGCGTCACGCGTTATTAACGCACACAGGAATACGGTTTGACGGTGCAAGAGAAGCTGACCATCGGCCAAGGAATATGCACACCTTTGTTGAAGAAGATACGGGCCGATCTGCAACGAAATATCGAAGAGTCCGGAGAGGAGACGGTCAATAGACTGAATCCCAGGTATAACAATTACCTATTTACGGAGAACACCGGTTCTCGTGTCTTCTTGTTTCTAACATGTAATTTTTTCTTTCTAATTATTTTCGTTTCTAATATATGTAATATCCTAACCCAGACAGCACCGATTTCTAAAAGATGTCTTAGGAACGTCTTACCAAAGACGTATCACATTTTTCAGACGTTTTTAAGACGTCTTTCGGAAACTCTCACTGTCTAGGTATTGTATTGTTTCTAACCCACATAATTCTAATAATTCACACACACACGCACGCACATAGATATTCCCATGGCGTTTCGAGCCCCGGACGCCATGTTCGCACGAGGTTGTATTTTACGAGCGAGAGTCACGTACATTCCTTACTCACCGTGCTGCGTTACGGTGGTTTGCTCGATGTAAGTGATATATACGTTGTTTCCGAGTGAAAAGGCCGTCTTGTGCTACGTTCCTCTGGCTCTACGGCGAATCGATTACAGGTGGTGAAAGACGAGCAATGGCGACGCGCGATGGAATACGTCAGTATGGTCTCGGAGCTGAACTACATGTCGCAGATCGTCGTGATGCTGTACGAAGACCCGACCAAGGACCCGAGCAGCGAGGAGCGTTTCCACGTCGAGTTACACTTCAGTCCTGGCGTTAACTGCTGCGTACAGAAAAATCTGCCACCCGGACCCGGTTTCAGGCCACATTCGCGCAACGAGAGCAGTCACAACATGGTGAGCGTCGAAGGTGTCCGGCACCACACGTCGAAAATGGCACGAATATATCGGTTCCCTCTTTCAGGGCGAGAGCGGTGGTTCCGGCCAGGACACCACGTCGCAATGCAGCACCCGGATAGAGGAGGAAGACGCGGAATTGGGAATTATGGAGGACGATCTGATGAATCCCGTGGTGCAGACCGTGAGTACTGCAGTTTGCGTCGCATTTCAGTTGTCTTATAAATCAGCTTACGCGTGATCGCCTCAGTGTAAATTGACGCTTTCGGTCATACGTTTATGTCAAAGTTACAAATTGCTTCTCAAGCGTTCTCACTCAGTGCGGTAAGTATCGGTGACGTTTTCCAGGACACGCCTCCGTCGCTAATGGAAACCGACGCGGTGGATTCCATGCTAGACAGTCCGACAACCAGTCGTGGAATCGATATGATGGACTTGGATCCGAACATGATGGACGAGCCGTACGATAGCGGCTTCTTACAGAGCTCGGCTCCGATCCCCATCAGGTTTGTCCCACCCATTCACATCTGATTCTCCTGAGATACCAATGATATAACTATTATGTAATAATAACTGTTATTATTTATTTAAAATTCAATACTTATTATTTTCATAATTATTATTTATTAATACAATGCGATTCAATAATTTTATTGTAAAATAATCCCCCCTTTGATTATTTTCGTCCTTTTCTTTCGTGTCAAAAGGATTTTACTATTTATTTTAATACACATGTATTTTAATGAATTTTATAAGTAAACAAAATAACTGCTGATTCTTTTGTGACCCACACAGCGCTAGAACGGTGGCCGGACACGAGGCAGCCAGACTCGGCAGTCAGTTGGCGGCGAGTCAGCGGCAACGGCGAAGCAGGGAAGCCGGGACCATCGTCGAACCGCGCGCCCGCAGCTACGACCATCAACGGCAAGAGAAGTCGGAGAAAGGTAAGTGCGCCCTCGACGGCTCGCAAGTTATCATCCGCGTCAGTGGGCGGACTTGCGAGAAACTATGTAAGTGTGAAGGATGCGTCGCTAATGAGCCGGCGAGATGTGCCGGCCGAGAGATTTTCTCGACATTAACAAGCCAGGCTACTCCACTTACATGTACATACATGTACACACACACGTGTACGTACACGTGCGCCGATGCAAACGTATGCGTACGACGTGTACGCGTACGGTATCCTTAACACGTTGATAGTTTGTGCATGGTATATTGTGTAATTATTAATTATCATATATATATATATATATATATCGGATTTTTCTTCTTCCTACATATGTATATGTATGTATGTATGTATATATATATATATATATATATATATATTTATTTATTTATTTATTTATTCTCATATACGTGTCACCGTGATCGCACCACTGTCGATATTTCTAGATATATGCTACGTGAATGAATGCCGTATGCTATCTCCCGAATATTATTATATGTAGCAGCTTCGTCTCGCGAAAAAAGAAACTGCATTTTATCACGATAAATTCTGTCCCCGACACACACGAGTATATCGATCGACGTACGTGCTGAAAGATCGCATTGTGACATAGAATCTTAATTGCATTGAGATTTCGGATTTTCACGTCTTGATGCATCCCACGTTTCGAACACAGTCCGTTCCGGATTACCGGAGTATAATAGTTCTCACAGTTTGAACACTGAGATATCGATATTTTCCCAATTGGTTTACTTGTGAAACATAATGATGCACATACTGAAATTATATACGTCAAGGTGAGAGCACACTTTGCAGAACTTTTTTGCCGTTTCTTACTATTTGAATGACTTTCAATTTTGCTGAATGAGCGAACATAGACGTATTGGAGCCATCGCGCCATTTTTACGAAATATTGTGCATGACAATGAACGGTGTATGCGCAACAACAAGATAGAGAGGCACCGAGACACCTTTTCTGTTCATTCGAACATGATATTGTACTGTTTTGCGCGCGAGCACAAATATAATTCTATTTGAGGCATATACACATACATACATATGTATATATATATATATATATATTATATATAATATATATATTAATGTTAAGGCATCAGGGCAATTAGGTAGCGCTTTTACGGCTAATTACTAGCAATTGAAAATTGATGGTGGAACATCGCCACAATGCTCTTTCTGTGTTCTGCTGTCTCTTTTTGTAGCTGCGGACAAGCTGCAGTATCAGAGCTTGGACGCGGTCAACAAGGAAGGTATGTTTTATTGGTTACCGATTTTGCAGACGACTCTCCGAGATAATGCACATGAATTTTGTCAATGATATGATTTCCTTTTTTTTTTATATATAGCTCTGTTTACTTTTATTTGCTGTAATCCGAATGGATTATCGTGCCCTCTTCTTTCATTAGAGTACAATTTTGTTTTTATTTTCCGTGTCTCTAATGCCTATAGAGTCTCTCTTATGCTCACGTTGCAATGAAATAGTTATCGATTGGCCATTGGTACATATTTATCGGTGCATTCAGCCAGGGTGTCTGCTACCTGGAAAAGCCTGAAAAATTTGCAGTTCTCAGGGAATTTTAATTTTAAATAGCATCTATCTGCAAGCCGGATTACCGCGTTATCTATGAATAAATATTGTGTGATTGACTGAATTTTGCTTAATAATACTTTCTTCATTAAGAATCTTAGAAAGAAATATTTCAGAAAATATTTCAGAAATATAATCAGGATTTCTTGATTTCATTTTGAATTAATTTTAATTTTAAAGATATTCAATGTTGAAATCAATGATTTCGTGTTAGATGCAATTTTGTTGAAGACAGATATATTTTAATAGATTTATAAAAGTTACACTTTATATTGGTTATGAATTATATGATTCTTTTATTAGTAACTTTTGAAAGAGAAAATTTTAAATTTTACGCAACATAAAATATTTATTTTTTAGAGCCCTCACAGTTTCTTTCGAAGTTTTTCAAATTTAACCATCGAAATTCGAGTGAATCTTAATTTTACTTTATGATTTATTTAGCTTTTGTGAATGAGTAATATTAAGGATTTTGCAGATAAGATTAAAAAAAAATGCCTTTATTTTACCTGGAATTTTTGACAAATTGTCTGAAAAATCAGAGAATTCTCATGGAAATTTTTTTTCGGATTTCAGTAGACACCCTGTCAGCGTTTTGCATTGAGATATTTCACGGGGGAGAAGATTCTTTCCGTTTGATCTTGTAATGACAGTTTAATCGAAGTGACGCGCCGTAGCGATTTCGTAGTTTTCTTTGTGTATGTTACCGTTCTGCCACACATGTAGCACAAAACAATTCCCCTGGACTTCCGTGACCGTGTAAAGCAGAACGTTTCTCGATTTTCGTTGCAATTAGAGTGCATATAATCGTTGAATCTGTACCGGTACCCGGAATGCGCTTTGTACGCACATAATCGGTATTACGAAGTACTGATTAAAAAGCAACCGCCGACCGTCACACTCCCGTCACACTCGTGTCTCCTCGTAGCAAATACTACTCTCTAATCCCTTCCCCCGATGGAATTACTTTCTCCCCACATTTTGTCCCGAGTTTTTCTTTTATTTGCGGACCACGTTAGTTAGTTCTCGTGACGATCTGTATTGTAGCCTGTTATTTTCTCACTCTAATCAGAATCCCACGAAAGAAAAAAGACAAGAGAGGATAGCAAAAAAGGGAAAAGAAGAAAAGACACGTATTGCACGTATTGCTGTATTCTATTAGACGAGAGAGAAATCTCGGTGCTACTTCTCGGGAGCGTGTGGTAGAGAAAGAAACAAGAACGCGTCAACCGGGCCGAGTACCGACCACAGTCCGGTTGAGTGGCCACGATCCGGTGGGACGAGCACTGATCCGGACGAGTCTAATGTGAATCTTGTTTCATGTAGTCTAGACGGGATTGTGTTACTTTGCCGAAGTAGGAGGCGGCGGGTTGAAATAACTCTTTGCTCAGCGATAGTTGTGCGCGTGGAAGCCAACTAATCAGTGTCAGCGGCGGTTGTCTGGCTCACACCACGTCCCCACCGTGGTGTGACCCATTCAGTCGCCCTCCCATTCAGTATCCTCGAAATATCCCACACGAAGAGAGAAGTCATCAGAGTTCCGCATGATTCGCGCGGTCGGCTCTCGCCGTACGTGTCGCCGCTTCCGCGGAGACGCTCATCCGCGCGATCATATTTCTCTCATCCTCTCATCGTACTTCTTTTAATTCATTTCACTTCGTACTTTTTTTTTCCATTTTCTTTCAAACTAGCTCGTATCGTCGTCGTCACGCTCGTTTCTTCGCACTTGACTATCATTGATTACACTACTGCGATCTCTTCTCTCACTTCGATAGAGACAGTCTTTCTCTCTCTCTATCTATCTATCTATCTATCTCTAGTAGATGTGAGCCACATAGTAGAGCATTCTCACCTCTTTTCTCTCATTCACACACGTATCTCGCATTCACAAGGACGAAAGTGAGAGAGAGACCGGCACAAATCGACGTGTCCTCTCACGTATCGTCGTCGTCGCGACGATCGTATTAATTAACGCCGTTAAAGCTTCGGCGGTTTACTAATGAGTGTTTGTGTAACGAGACTGATCCATATATGTCAAAGTCGTGTCATGTGGTTTGGTTGGCTTACTGGTTGCATGGCTATCGTGTGTGCCACGGTTGTTGTGTGGTGTGCGCGTTACTCGCCGAGTCTGATATACGTACGTACTCGCTACTGTGCGTGGGAACGGTCGAAGGTATATACTCTTCTTCGCTCCTTTAATTTACTTTTCTTCCTCGGCGGCGAATCTTTACGGGCGTGCCAAGCGCGACAAGTACTTTCACTTGCCGCTCTGGCTGGCGTCTTTCTCTCGACGACGCGCGAAATCGTGAATCCATTCTCATTTCTTGACCCTCGCAAAGAAAGGGTGGGGGTCATTCATGACCTCCGGCGTATTATTATATTTTTGAAAAATATATCCTTGTTATTGTTCCATGTTATTTTATGTGACCTTTCCTTGTTTTCCAACGGAATGCATATTCATAAATTGGGATCACTCATGACTCCACCTTTCTGTTCACGTCATGCTACTCCACCTTTCCTTGCGAGGGTTAACACATTGCCAATTCTGCGGAATTAATAAGACCATAAGAAACTCTGAGAAACACACATTTCGTGAGTAATAGCATATCTTAACTCGAACTTTCACAATTCTTGCAACAGAGCAGCGTTTTTATCCAGTCACTTACGTCACCTTTTGTCACTTACGTCACTTTTTCTTGACAAGTTACTTAAAAACATTAAAAAAAAGGTAATTCAAAAAATTCACTATTATCCAAAATGGATCACAATAGCCACTTTTCTTAAGGTACCATTAAATTTGTAAAATATAGGCATTCTATGTATATTTTTGCCGTCTCTCTTAATAAAAAACTGCAATGTGTCACGAAAGAAAGATCCATCGAGATTTTCTTAGAGAGTAAGTAAAGAACAAATTCTTCACGTTTACCGTCGCGTTTCGGCAATTTGCATCGTACGAAGAAAACGCAAGCGGATGCTTCATATTAATTAATGTCGTCACCGACGAGGGGGGTAGATTTCGTGGTCGCTCGAGCGAAAGCAAGAGAAAGAAACACCGCATATTCAAAGATTCGCCCCGTTCTTCTGTTTCGTTGGTAAATGGGTTCTTTAATCGGCTCTTTTCTCTTTTGTTTTCCCCCCTTCCTCTCTCTCTCTCTCTCTCTCTCTCTCTCTCTGTCTGTCTGTCTATTTCTTTCTCTATTTCTCTTTCTCATTTTTTTTCTTTACACCGTTATCCCAAATGCTGCACTATTATACTCCCCCTCCCCCTGCTGTTGTCAACCGGCAATCCCACTTTGCTCGTTATCACGAAATTAACGCGGCGCGTTATCTCGCACCTTCACGCCTCGCACCGTGCCTCGCATCATCTTCCCCTGATCAGCCGCGGAGCCGAGCGAGGCGTATCTGAGGAAACCGGCGACCCTGTCGCAGTCGCACAGCTCGCCGGAGCTGCCGGTTTCGCCGGGCGCAGGCTCCGCGAGCTCCTCCTCGGGTTCGCCACCGCCCACGATCACGCTTCACAGCGCGCCGACCTCGGTCTCGGCCGGGGTCGACGACGGACAGCTACTCGCCACTGCCACCCCCTGCTCGTTGCTCGTCCCGTCGATCGCGATCGGCGGTGTCCTGCTGCAGGAGCAGCAGCAGCCTACTGTCGAGTTTTACCGGTCGTCGTACTGCGGCAGGAAGTACGGACGGTCGCGCTCCGAAGCGATTCTGCTCTCGTCCGTCGAGACCTGCGGTGAGTGCGAGGATTCCTCTCGGTGAGAACGGGAGAGAAGGCTGGCTCGAGATACGGAGGCCTCCGGGTCCTCTCGGGGCCCTTCACGGCGAGCGAGATAGCTCTCTCAGTATCAACGTCGATGAGGACTTTGTCGAGAATAAAATCTTACAGCGGGCGCTTGCCATTTATCTGACCGGTTAACACCTGTGTTAATTTGTGTCGACGCAGTTAACGTACACAGAAAAAAAATATAGTATCAACTCGAGACTCGTATTCTTATACATATTCTTATATCATATACTTGTAGTTTAAGTCAATGCGAACAGAAAAGTCCTTTATCATTTTCTCAAGTATTATTTATATTTTCATGAAATATTAATTTGAATATTAATTTGAAGATATCGTTTTTCCCGATATCTTTCCTCTCAGTTCATAACAATTATTTTTGAATAACAAGAATATGATATTTTTAGCGGAGCTATGTAGATTTTCTTCATGTAAGTTTTACCTTCATATAAGACTATATATTTTTGCTTACATATGAGAAGTCCTGAATATAAAAATTTTTTTTTCGGTGTACAAATGGAAAAAAAAGCGCTCTGTTAAGAATGCTCTTTATTAGCGAACGATGCATTATTCATTGAATGTTTTCCATTTAGTAACGCAAGTTGACTTTAAGTAATTCCGCTTTTGCAGAGAGTTGAGCGTGGTTTGGCGGCTTTTCACTTACATGATTTGTGTCCGTGCAAATGGACACAGGTGTTAGCACAAATCCTACAAATGAAAAATATTCTTAACTCTCTGAATCGACGTTTGAACATGATGTGAAATTCGTTACTTTTTTCCTTTCACTAATGAAACGTCCTGACATTAAAATGCTGGTTCTGAATGACATTGTATCGCGTGTCCGAGGTGTCATAATCCGATCCTACCGGATTCATACCGGAGTCTCATTCTCTACGATAAGGAAAGTTGCATAATTAATGCAGTGAGTCGATCGAGGCTGGCGTTCGATGTCCTCTTGTCGAGAGCTACTAGTAGAGAGTCATGGTAGTTACGAGACTACTTATCGTAAGACGAAATTAGCAGCGAGCGATTAGCAGCCTGCATCCACAGAATTTACAACACACGCGCGCGCGCGCATACGCACACACAAATATACACGATTCATTAAATTAATCTCTTCGAACGGATGCGATCGCAAATCTTGCATATCCAATAGTTTATCTTCCAACACGAACCATTCTCACAAACGTCGATTGGAGTTTACTATGATTTAACTAATCCTCCGTCTCTCTCTCTCTCTCTCTTTTTGCTCATATAATATTCTCGCTTATATATGAAAACATTTACCGATTGATTTAAGACTATTTCTCTTCTGTGTGTTACTTCATAGTTGCGCTTGAGAGGAATCTTCTCAGAGCGTATAATAAATAATGCTATAAATAATCTCCCCGCCCCCCCCTCTCTCTCTCGATCCGAAATAAAAAATCAATTAATCATTAGCATCAGTCTGACGGTTTGTGGGAATGGTCCCGTGGCTCGTTAATACATGTGACCGATTCGCTTTGCTCGTTGCAACTGGTGCCAACATCTTCCCTCTTACTAGCATTGGATGTCTCTTTCTCTCTTCTTTTCTCCCTGGTACGCGAGCACGAACGCAAGCACGAGTCTGGCGTGACGAGGTGTAAAGCTTCAGACGTAGTCTACTTCTGCGGCTTTCGAAGGCACTCTGTACACAAGAGCACCACGATCAGAACAACGTTCACTATTCACGTTCATCCACCATCAACCATATTGTCAACCGTATTATCACCGTCCTCCCCCGCGAGTCTGATCATTCAAATCACCATCCAGTCTGTCTCTCAGTATCGGTCCCTCCAGATCGTCCGTTGTCCAGCCTGAATTCCTCTTCTCCTCCCCAGACACGCGACCTTTGTTCATTCAACCTGATCCTACCTGCACAGCAAGGCGCCACCGTCACAGTATCTCCGGACAGATGAGTTATTTCAAGCTGTTGGGCTACAATGTCAGCAAGAAACTCACCGGCTCGGCGAACAGCCTCTTCAGCACCGCTGTGATAAGCGGCTCCTCGAGCGCGCCGAATCTCAAGGACATGGTGCCGCCGCACGCGTCCGCGGTCGCTGGTGAGTGTTGCCTTCGTAATCACGAGAGTCTGAAATATCCAAATCCGTAATCTCTGATCTCGTCTTTCCTCTTCTCTCTTTCCCTCATCGTTTTGCACTCATTGAAGCGATAGAAGGCTTCGGCGGAGTACCACCCATCAGACCACTGGAGACCCTTCACAACGCCTTGTCGCTACGTCAGCTGGACTCCTTCTTGGACATGATGACCAGCGTGCCGCTGTTCCGCACTCCGGCCTCGTCGCCGCCCAAACACCCGTCGCCGGCCAGCTCGACGCACGAGTCACTGAATCCAACCCTCGGCCATCCCGGGATCAGTCGCGAGTATCACTCTTCCGACACGGAAGCCGTCAGGTATCGTAAGAAATAGCATAAGACGCCTCCGTGAGTATCGACTGACTTTCTCGCTGTCCCTTTTCGCCGGATTTCCTCTCGAGCGCGCTGCGCCGACAATTTCCCGCTGCTTTGCTCGTGCACTCGAGTCTCAGGCTTGTTTGTTTCTCGGTACGAGACATCATCAACGTTTCCCTGTCGTCGTTCAGGTACATCACGCCGACCCCGATACAGTACAAGCCCCTGGGCGAAGCGGAGACGTGCGACAGAGGGAATCTACCGTCGCCCACCAGTCCGAACAGTGAGCATCTTCTATCCTGCGCGAGTCCTGACGGTGTGGCAAATCTCGTCGAATAATTGTCACTTATTTCCCGTCAGAAATTATCTTTTATTCTACGTCAATTTACTTATAATTTTCCAATCGTCTCTGGTTTATTGTTCTTCTTGTGGAATAATTTTTACCGCGCAGGTACGGGATGGAGCAGCGAGCCACAGTCCTTCTTGTCTTCGGAGCCGTCGTCGCCGGCGCCAACCTCGACCGGCGAGTGCAGTATGTCCATAAGTTTGATAAGCAACGACGGGTGAGCTCCAACGCGCACTTTGTACACTCTTGTGTTCCATCTCTTTTCGTATCCTGATTATTTTTAACACTCTACTGTGTTCCCTCCCCCTACTGTAACGATATCTTATGTATATAACATGGATGAATACTTACGTTAACCTCAGATATTCTGTAATTATACTGTTGTTATAGCGTGTCTGTATCTTAACTGTCTTATTTGTGTAATCCCTTCGTGTAATCCTCATCACACGCCGTATATTTAACAACACCACTAGAAAACGACGTCTCTCCGTTCGTAGTGCTCAGCTTTTCAGCAACGCGCCCAAGTTCTCGACGACTCCTTGTCTGGACGTCGATTTTAACGAATTCTGCATGAGACTCGACCAAGAGAATCGAGAAAGTCGCGGCAGCGTCTCATATACGGATTATTACAGCAACGAGGACGGTCAGATACGCAAAATAACGCAGATACCGCAGACCATGCAGCAAGTGGCAGCAGCGGCCGGCGGGCAGCCGAATACCGCCGGCGATGATCTGCCCGCTGACAACGTTGACGAGGACGAGGATCACACGTTGACGTTGAGACAGAGCGAGGAGCAAAAGAAACAGGACGTTAAGCTGATATTCGAGCAGCGGGACAACGTGAATCCCGCGAAAGTGAGCGGCGGCTGCAAAAAAATCGGACGGTGAGCGAAAGGGAGGAAAGTTGCTTAAAAGATGGTTCCGCTGTTGCAAGTTGCAACGAAAGTTTCTCTAAACTCGGAATTGTCGTGTTCAAGTTTTTCAACGGATACGCACGATTACCCGGAGTCCTAGATATATAAATAGAGAAGCGCAAATTGAATTCGATGCGTTGAAAGTCATTTTCTTTGCACGGTGATATTTGGGGCGAGTAAGAAAATGAAAGAAAGAAGTTATCAGTGAAGAAGAAAAATTAGGTCGCGAGAGATTGACCTGAATTATCAGTCCAAGTAAGAAATACTCTCTCCGTAATTTGTAACTGCTCGTAGCTTACAACCCGACACGTCAGAAAAGGAGCTTATTGAGTTATGGATAAAAAAATAAAGAATATTATAACTTGCCGATACATCGTGTGCTCTTTGTCGTGAAACGGACGAAGAAAACAGGTGTGACTTTCTTCATCGCGCTTCTCCATTTGCGTCTGAGACTCCAATTAGCGCGATCTAGCTGTTTCATTCGGTGTAATTGAGGTGAAATGAAGTACTCGCGCTTCTCGCTTCATGTTCGTTTTTGAACCCGCAGCTTCCGGGTGGAGAGCACGGACATAACTCAGGGCGACGTCAGGATTAAAGAGACCGACAACGCCGGCGCGGCGGACAAAGCGAAACCGTCCACGCCTCAGAGGTCCGACTCGCCGAAGTCCACGGACAAGATGACGCGGAAGGACTCGAAGAAGAGCGGCGGCAGCAGCCAGCACTCGTCGCAGAAGCGCAGGAACTTCTCCCGCTCGCAGAGCGTCACGGCGCCGAAGCCGACTACGGCGAAGCCCACTGAGCCGAGTTTCAGCTACAAGAGCATGAGCTCGAAGCAGGGCTCGCTCTCGACCATGTCGGTCGCGGATCTGGAGGACTGGAAGCTGAGCGTGCTGAATCCGACGACGTCACCGCAATCCGCGACGGCGAGCCGAGAGGACGAGCCGATTCTCACCGTGGCCGTCGGCGACAGCTCGAACGTGACCGTCGGCTTCGACGTTCAACGGGAGCAAAGGGAGTAGAGAGGGAGGGAGGGCAGACGCGAATGGATTCTTCCAAATTCCGGCCAACGACGCGCGAAAGAGAAATCCCCGTCATCTGTATTTTCGCCGAAACGGAGCCGAGCACCACCGCGTCAAACAGGAAACAGATAACGTTCTGTAGATCTTAAAGATGATAATTCGTCACCCTTCCTGTCGATTAAACCGTGCGAGGCGATGTATTAAGCAGAAAGTATTAGGACGCGATGTTGTCACTTCGTTGTTCCACCAGTAGTAGTCCGCGTTGATAGAAGCTGATCGATACACGCGAGCAGGACCATTCGTCTAGCGGAACTCGAAGCAGCGGTACTTAACCCGCGTCTCCTCTTCTTCTAGAACATAATTTAGTGAGATATTTTGGATCAAATGCGACGCTCGTTTTAACACCTCTCGAGGAATAGCGAATTAACTGATTCCCCCTCCCTAGTAAGTTATTTCACGATTTATAAGAATATATATATATATATATTTTTTATTGACACAGACAAGAGTAATCGTCATGTTAGGTGATCTTTTACAGAAAGAGAAGAAAATTGAGAAAAATGTGGCCGGCCGTTGAATCGAGAGCTTATGATTTCCGGGTACTTTATTCCCCTGACGACGACGACGGCGGCCGTTGCGCAGGCATACCACCTCTCGGAAAAAACTTATTCTAAACGAAATTGAAAGTCAGGAATTTTTCGATCAACGAACAAACGCTGATTACACAGTAGCGATCGCGACCGTATGCGATTTCTAGCGCATAGTGAGGATTCTTTAGGCGAATAAACGGTCGCAGGCAGCAGTACTCCCGACAGTAGGATCCGTAGATTCCGTTCTGACACGTTGTAACTGTGTGCATATCCGTCTTCTAGAGAAATCACTGCGGATGTACAAAGGCTTATCTACCAGTGTAGATAAATACTATGTGATAGGTGTATTTCAATTGAGGATACTTAGGGAAACGCGCAAAGAACGAGATAGAGAGAGAGAGAGAGAGAGAGAGAGAGAGAGAGAGGAAGTGGCATGCGATTAAGAATGTTGAGAGATTTATTCTCAGGAGGAATTGTATAAATGTATACTTCTCTACGCTGTATTATGTTCTTCTGTACTATAGGCTCTGTTGTAAATCGACGGTTAGTTCCTTCAAATTACCAAAGGCGGGAAACTTAACACTTGCGCATCGTCTAACGCGTATCGCAGAACAACGAAGATATATTAGATCATCGTTAGAAATTCTATGTTCTCAGGTGTCGGATGATACAGGCGTTCCCGTTGGTAACGTTTCGTTCTTGTACAGCAGCGATCGCTGGAATCGGTAGGACTTGATCCGAGCCAAAGAAAACAGGTCGGTGCGTTTGACGTTGCGCGTGGAAACGGTCTGTTGTTACACGCGCAGCTTCACGGGAGGAGGATGTTTCATAGAGATATTATCTGTGGACGGGTGATCGTACTTGCAAAGTAGCGAACATCGTGCTACGTGTGTGTACATTTAGTATGTATATCATGCGCGAAGGAGGAAACGTTTTAATAAAATGATATAGACATAGAACCAAGGAAATTGTCTAATTCATTTGTTACCTGTAGAATTTTTTAATATTGCATTTTTAATATCTTGCACTGAGGGCAGGCAGAAACCGAGAGTAAACACAGATTTGACTTTGGAGACATAAAACGTGGTCTACGATGGGCAGTAGGAGTATGTGTGTGTGCGTATATATGTTTATATGCAGGAAGAGTACCAATTATTGGAGAATTATTAGAGAAGGAATTAACCAATCATAGTCGATTATTCTCCTTACATTCGAATATGATTGGCCAATTTCTTATTCTTCTTATAAATATACTACCACTGCCCATTGTAGATTACGCTTTATAATGTGCGAAAGCACGAAAACTCGTATCTATGTGTAGATATATGTCCATACACAGCAATATCTATGAAAAGATGTAAGATGGTTCTATTGTTTTTAATACATTTTTTTTCGTAATTTTGACAAAAAACTTGCAAGAAATTATACTGCAAGTCTCTACGTAAATTTTTTTTTCACAAACCGGTCAACTAGAAGAATTCCTGAGAGTTTTGTGTAATCCCTCATGCTAGTTCTAACAATTATTCTTATGACTCAAAATAAAAATCGCGCACAAAAAAATTCCCTTACACTTTTTTGTATCACAGCTGAGAAAATTTGTAAGTCTTGCGAGAGAATTTTTCAATTAACGGCATAAAATCAGTTAAAAAAAGTAGATCTTTCCAAAATGTTTAGTTGTAATTTAACGTTTAATTTTAATTTAGCAACTTCAATTTTACAGCCATTTTTATCGACGATTAGAACAAAGAAAAAGTCTTGCTTGGTTATTCCTCCTCTGTGCGATGAATACGAAGATAAAATATGATTATATGTCTTATCACAATTATCATGAGTTTCTTTCTTTCTTTCTTTCTTTCTTTCTTATCTATATCTTCATCTTTTATTTTTAAAATTCGATATTGTACAATGATAATATACAGTAGTGCACAATGATAATATACAATAGTATACAATGATATACAACATGCGAACTAAAAAATAGTACATAATTATGAGATTAAAAATATCTACTGCTTAAAAATTAAAAATATCCATTACTTACAAATTTAATTAAAAAAAGGAAAGAAGATACAGTTGTTACACGTAACAACATTTTATAAAATTTTTATAGATATACTTTTATAAATATACGTATATTCTAGTCAAAAATTTCAAAATTTGCCATATAGATTAATGGAAGAGCAGTGAAGATACGTACGATAACACGATAAGATAACAGTGAGATACATAATGCTTTAATGGCCTCACTAAAACTAATGGCCAATAAACTCACACAACATGTGTGTGATAACCAGAACAACTGTTATTGTCCGCTCACACAACATGTGTGTGATGCTACCGTCGAAGATTATTGGCCAGTACCACACTCTCTGTGATGATTTATGAATGTATGTTTGTACATGTTGAATTATTTCGTGAATTTTAATAGTTTTTTAAAATTAATTCTTCAAAAATATTGCCGGCCCCTGGCGACGTTTGACTGCGTAGACGTGCGGCCATTAAAGTGTTAATGTTAAATTTAAAGATAAGAATAGGAGATAAAGCACCTTATATAAAACAAAAATAACAATATTATTATATTACATTAACCGTTTGAGTGCCAAGGAACGATTTTGCGCTTCTTCTGTTTCGCTCGAAAAGTACCAGCGTTCTAGGCTGCGAAGCCGATAACCGGCACACGCTCGGCTTCTGTCGATGCGTGACTTTACGGCTACCATTCCGTTTTAGGTAAAAATGAAATAATGAGACAACTGATAAAAGAACGAATTTTAATTGCAATCTAACATTTGGATGCAATCATCAGAGAATAAGACAAGCGCTATCGCGCCGTTTGGCATTTCTGGATGGGGAATAAGACAAGCGAAAAAGCGCTCCTTGGCACGTTTGGACGGAGAAACAGCAGAGACGCGTGGCACTCAAACGGTTAAAATTCACGTTTCATTCAAACATTTTTCCAAAAAGTGATTTGCTCTGTTTCAATTCGAACATTTATTTATTGCAAGGCGCACGTATCTGGATGCGATGTTTCATTCGGACATTTTTCCGGAATGTGACCTACTTTGTTGCAATTCGAACATATATTATTTATTGCAGGACATGCGCGTTTAACCATGATATGCGATGTACCGCAAAAATTGCAATTTAAGATTTTTTTAAGTCCGCATCTCCAGTAGAAGTGATTTGATTTGTGACACTTGCTGCATACATTCATGTAAGCAGGACACTCATGATAGTAATGTTTATCTCCACAATTTGAGCAATCATCTTTATATTGAGTCGGGCATCTCTTTATATAGTGGTTCATATTGTTACACTTTCCACATTTTTTACCGTTAGCCGGACATTTTCCTATTACATGCATTAAACTACAAGCGTCACAGTTTTTAACCACATTATTAACGATTTTTTCCCTTTGTGTAAAATTCACGTTTTCACATTTCATCCAAATATACGTTATTTCTTGTACACTCAAAGACTTTACGCTAGATGGGAATGAAAACTTTGGCACCAAATTTACAGCACTGTTTGTAAATTTGTTTTCAGGTATTTCTTCCAGAATCTTCTTCTTCACTACTTCATCTATATCGATCGTATATATCGACGCCATTATCTAGAAGATAAAATATTGCATTATATGCAATTTTGTTTATGACGAAATAAAAGAAATAATAATATTCTTCACGCAACTTTCTATGACGTAAAAGTGAGTGCGAATTGCAATAAACATTATAATTACTTAAAAATTTAATTGTGTAAGTTTAGTTTGTGTATCTTTCTTGTTACATTGCTTAACAAAATCTTATACAAGGTAAAGACGATATTATTACCTTGGATATACTTAAATTTTGAAAGCAGCAGAAAAATCTGAATTTTAAAAGAAATTGCATTCATATGTTGTGCGCACGTGAACAAGAGTCTCTTTGTGAGCGTAAAGTTCAATTCAAAATAACACAACGGCGCATTAACAATAACACAATGATTCTTCAATTTATTGCTTCCTTGAAGGAGCACAACACACGCGTGAGAGTTCCGCGACGCACTCACTCTCAGAAACGTTAACAAGAATTGAAAGTGTGAACGCAAATTCAATAACACTCGGTAAACTTTGTAAATACCGCACGCAGTTATTATAGAGTATTTCAATGGATAAATTGCGATTGACGACGAGCAATCGACAACGCGTAGCACGATCACGAATACGTCCTGTCACACAAGCTATGCAGAAACGTACTGAATCGGATTCAGAAGCTCCCGAGGATGTTTCGATTTCTTTTTAATCTCGCGTTTCTAAGACACGAAAATATCAATACAATAAAAAGAAAATAACGCGCGTGCCTAGCGACAGCCGACACGATGTTGTCAGCTAATCGCAGATAATCGCCTCTCGCGAGCGACAATATATCGCACGTATCACGAGTGTACCGTGTGCCTCGCACATATGTATACTAACGGTCATTACTTTGATTATTTATCGTAAATGTAAACTTTTTTTTTATCTTCGTCTAGTCGTTTACAAAACATTTTTTTCGAAGTTATTCAAAGTAGTAATAGTTGCTCTACCTTGTATAATCCTATTTTATAATTTGATCTGGACAAAACTTAGATCTGTGATTAAAAAAGATTTTAATTATTTTATAAACATGAAGAAAAAAACATTTATAAACCATACCTTCAAGTCATTTACGTATGTATCGATATCTTCGCCATTTCTTCTCTTTTTATTTATAACTGTATAATACTGATCAAATTTCTCAAATAATATGTCTATATCTTCTTTTGCTTGATCATTATCAAAGGTAAAAGTTTTATATACTTCTTGTCCACCGGGACCCAAACGATTCAAGAGCACAATACCCCATTTTTCTTTATTGTTTTCTGCTTGGTCGATCAACTTCATATATATGAGAAATTTATTTTTCCACGAAGGCCACATAATTGTAAAATCATTCTTTGTCATTATTAAGGGCAATCTAGCAGATATAGGTGCTGTATTTCTTGCGTGAATTCTATATGTTTGCGTCTTAGGATCATACTTTTTTTCATTCAAAGAAACATCGCTTGCAAAATTAGATTGAACATCAAATTTGAATGATCTTTTCTTAGACGTTAAACAAAATTCACATAGTACATGTTCATTCAACACTGGATACGTATTACAATCCTTACATTTCACTGGACATGGATTTTTATAAGGTTTGTTTAAATTAGCATTATTTGGACTGCTAGTACCTGGTTTAGATGAATCATTAAAATATTGTTTATAAGAATTCTTTAATTCATATAGATTATAAACTTGACTTACCGGAATGATTATATTCAGATTTTGCATCGTTTTTATTCGGTAAATTCGAATCAGAAGTAGTATTATGTTGTTCTGGTGTGGTCTGACTGGAACCTGCAATATGAATTTCATATAATTGCTCAATAGTATTGTGTAGACATTCCTGATGGACATATTCTGAAAATTTTAGTGAAATTCTGTCTCAAATGATCTTATTTTACTATCATTCTGTCAATATATGCAGTTTCCAGTTAAATTCAGAAAATTTCAACAGTATACTTTAACTTTCCTTATATTTGAGTACTGGTGTAGTATGATGAATTCAATGACCAATGTGATGAAAGTAATTTAAAAATGATTAAAATATATAATAAATATTTCAAGATGTATCATAATTTTCTTTGTGAAATTCATTTTAATGCTGTGAAACATAACGAAAATTAAAATATAATTCTGAAAAGTAATAAAAGAATTTTTGTAATATTAGATATCATGAAATTTAATGAATGAAACTGGAAAACTGCGTATACTAATGAAATAGGGATTGAGAGAATATTTCAGTCTATCAAAATATTTCCATCAGGAAACGTCTATTATAATTAAAAGAAATAGTTCATACCCATTTTTCAGAAATCACACACTATTTTGCACAAAAGAGAAAAGCTTGTATCAATTTTATATCTTCAATATCTTTCAAAGCAAATGAAAATACAAATAAAAAATATACAAGATGAATTACAAAAACTGCACCAAGTTATTGGTTACTACGTTCTTACGCATACGTGCCACAGTTTGACGGTCAAATCACTTCTGACGTAGCAAATAACATTATCTTCATGCAGCTTACTCAGCTACAAATTGGTGAATCCCCTGACTCAACACATATATTCATCTATGGGCGGGATCGGTAAAAGGAACTGATGGAGACCTCTCGTGGAGAACCTGTCGTGCACAAAAGTTTCAAATTGTATCTAAAATACGGAAAAATTATCAAGTATTTGTGATATTTATAATCGGGAAAACTGTTCACAATCTTTTATGAAGCGACTTTTTGGAAAATAAGTCGAAAAACGTAATAATTAATTTAAGCGAGAATTTGAAATGCAGTTCAGTACGAGTCTGTATTTTCATTTATTATAAAATTTTAAGACCCTAATTACAAAATCTGTCTCTATATATATCTCTTGAGACATTTGCTGGCGATACTTCCAGACGGATTTGCTGAAGATGTATGATTTCTCTGATCCAAAATGCAGGAAAGCGCGGATACCAGTAAGAAGAGTGTAGCTCAGATGATTTTTCAATGTAGTTGCGTTAATCCGTATCTACAATGAGTGTAATAAGCTTTAAGCCTTAAGAAATTGACCAATCACAATCGATTATTCTTCTCACAATCGATTGGTCAATTTCATATGGCTTACGGTTTCTGCCCACAGGACATAACAGCCAATAAACTTCTAGTTCTCGCGGCACGTTGATTGACTACCGCGTCGCTTCTAGCCACGCGGCAAGCATTTTCGCGGCCTGTGAGCAGAAGCCATAAAGCCTGCATCAGACTACAGATTGGGATTGAGATTGAATTAAAATTTGGCCAATCAGAGCAAGATTCACTAAACTTGAGTTAAATTACAATCCAATCTCAATCCTAATCCTGATATCCAAACCTGATCCGTAGCCGTAACAGGATCCAAACTCGCTCTTGTGAAAATTAGACACAGTTTTCAACGCCATCTGCGCTCGGCCTCGAATGTGGCTGAACTAAATGCGTAACGTCAGGCGGAGTGAGATGGTACTACACATACATACCACGAACACGGTTGCATATGCATGTGTCTCTACTCCGAATACGTCATATGTTTAGTACATCCAGGAACGAGCGCGTTAGGTGTAAGCGAGCACATGTACAAGGCGGTAGTTTGGATGCACTGGTTTCCGAAGACAAATCTAGATTTGCTTTTGGCCCATGCCGGGTCATAATGAATGGTTCAGCTACGCTTTTCGTGGTATGTGCAACTTCAAATATTTTAGCTCGGAGAAGTCATATTTTATTAAAAGCTATTTTCGGGTTTTTTCTTGCAAATATGTACTACACAGCTGGATTTTACAATAGGCCCTCCAAGTGTTTGTGATATACAATTGTCGTTTCAGCTGAACTAAAAAACGGCTGGGCTACACCCTTCCTACAAGTACCTGCATTTTTCCAAATTTTGGATCGGAGGAATTATATTTCCACGGCAAATCTGTTTTGGAATTTTGTCAGTTAATGTTTCATGGAATTTGCAATGGAGGCTTTAAAAATTTATAAGTGGCCTGTATTCTGAGCGCTCTTACAAAGATGTTAGCGCATTAACAAATTAACTTATTCGTAGTTCTGAATAGGAATTTTGTTTTAAACATGTGTGATTATCGAATTTTCCTAACAAAGCACTGTTATACCACGTTTAAAATACAAGCGCTACTGAAAGTGCCCACATTTCTTCTTTAATTAGCGTGCTGTGAACGCGTGTAAAATACGGGCCAATGAAATTACGGATTCGTGCTACACTTCAAGTATTACACTCACGGCACTCGGAGTGGAGAACGAGTCTACATTTGCATTCTACTATAAATTTTTGAAGACGTAACTGTAAGGCGTCCACCGTTGGTAAGTTTTAAAGTTCGCAAGAAAGATTCCAAAAATTAGCTTGACGGGCAAATATGATTTATTTGAGTTAAAATATTGTTAAGCGTGAAGATACAACTGAAAGTGCAGCCTAGCGGCACTTTGATATAATCGATATTTGGCTCTTGCCGGACATTAAACCAAGCATGGTCTCGAATTCCAGCATTAAATTGGATCTTAAGCAGTATCTATGAAAAGACTTTAAATAGTTCTACAATTTTTAATACGTTTTTAAAGTAGCTTTGACGAAAAAACCTGCGGAAAATCATCCTGGAAGTCTCTATGTAAACTGGTCAATCGTGAGTCATAGAAAGTTTTGTACAGCCATTTATGCTAATTTTAATAATTATTCTTACGACTGAAAATAACAGAACCGCACACAAAAAAAGTTCTCTTACGCTTCTTCGTATCATAACTGTGAAAACTTTTTAATTAACGGTACGAAATCAGGTAGTTAAAACAATAGGTTGCTCCAATATGTTTAGTTGTAACTTAATGTTTAATTTTAATTTAGCAACTTTAATTTTACGACACTTTTTATCGATGGTTAGAAAGAGAAAGTCCTGCCGAGTCTTTCTTTATGCTATGAATGCGACGATAAAATGTGATTATATTTTATTATGATTTTTATGAGTTTCTTTCCCGCTTTCTTATCAATATTTTACTTCATCTTTTATTTATAAAATTCAATAATACACAATCATTAATGCGCGAACCGAATAATAGTACACAATTATGAGACCAAAAATACCTATTTAATTAAAAATAGAAAAAAGATACAATCACATGTAACAACATTTTATAAATGCTTTTATTGGTTTACGTATATTTTAATCATTAAAAACTTAAAAAAACTTAAAAACTTGATATAGACTAATGGAAAAACAGTGAAGATACGTGATATTTCATATATCTATAGTGCTTAATATCAAATTTATAGATAAGAAAAGAGGAAATGAAGCATCTTATATGAAAGAAAAATAAAAAGTAAAAAAAATCATCCCGTTACAACATGTTTAAAATTCATGTTTAATTCGAACATTTTTCCGGAAAATGACCTACTTTGTTGCAATTCGAACATATATTATTTATTGCAGGGCACACGCGTCTAGACATGATATGAAATGAACCGCAAAATTTGCAAAATACGATTTTTTGAAGTCCGCACATCCAACGAAAGTGATGTAGCCTATGACATTTGCTGCATTCATTCATATAAGAAGGACAGTCTTGAAAGAAATGACTGTCTCCACAAAATGAGCAATTATCTTTACATTGAGACGGGCATCTCTTTGAATAGTGGTTCATATTGCCACAATTCTTACATTGTTTACCATAAGCGGGACATCTTCCTATATCATGTATGTAACTACAGTTGCTGCAGTTCTTAACCAAATAGTTGTCGATTTTTTCCCTTTGTTTAAAATTCACGTTTTCACATTTCATCCAAATATACGTTATTTCTTGTACACTCAAAGACTTTACTCTGAATGAGAATGAGAAATTTGGCATCAAACTTACAGCACTGCTTGTAAATTTGTTTTTATCTACTTCTTCCAGAATTTTCTTCTTCACTACTTCATCTACATCGTTCGTATATTTCGACGCCATTACCTGCAAGACAAAATATTGCATTATGTGCAATTTTGCTTATGACGGAATGAAGGAAATAATATTCTTCGCGCGCAATATTCCATGATATGGAGGTAAACACAAATTGAAATAAATATTTATAATTAGTTAAAAAATTCATTTTATAAGTCTAGTTGCACCTTGTATTCTGCTATATGCATATGCATAACTATGCTCTATGCTATATGCATAACTTCAGTAAATTCTACATAGATCTGTGTGAGTGTGTGTGTACAGGATTATATATATAATCCTACTTTATAATATATTGACCTGAACAAAACTTAGAATTATAATTAAGAAAGATTTTAACCCTTTGCACTCGAGGGCTCCGCTATGGAGACAATGCAGATAACTTTCAGTTCATAACATAAAGACGAAGACAAATCGTAAAAACTATTGTGTATAGGATATTCCGCTCTTGTTATTTGCATTGTCTCCATAGCGGAGCCCTCGAGTTTGAAGACAAATTTTAAATGGCTCCGCTCCGGAGCCCTCGAGTGCAAAGGGTTAATTATTCTATACACATAAAGAAAAACGTTTATAAAACATACCTTCAAGTTATTTACGTATGTATCGATATCTTCGTCAGTTTTTCTCGTTTTCCTTTCAAGTGTACAATACTGATCGAATTTCTCGAATAATACATTTATATCTTCTTTATCTTGACCATCATCAAAGTTAAACATTCTAAATATTTCTTGTCCACTGGGACCCAAACGATTCAACAGCATGATACCCCACTTTTCTTTACTGTTCTTTCCTACTTGGTCGATCGATTTCATATATGTGAGAAATTCATTTTTCCATGAACACCACATTGGCGTAAAATTATCCTTTGTCAACATTATTAAGGGCAATGTAGCGGATGTATTCGTAGGTTTTTTATTTTCTTCAGGAATTGCTTGCATCTTAGAATCAAGTTCTCTTTTATGCATGAGAACATTACTTGCAAGATTAGATTGAACAATAACTGTATCTTTATGAACAAGTTGGTATGGCTTATTGTACCAATTACATAAACATTGTTCAAATTGCCCAGAATACACTTTGTACCTTTTACAATCCTTACATTTTTCTGAATATATATTTTTATGAGGTATGTTTAAATTAGCATTACTTGGATTGCTAGTACTTGGATTGCTAGTACTTGGTTTGGATAAGTCAGTAAGTGGTTCACAAGGATCCTTTGATTCATATTGAGTATAAATTTGACTTGATTTGTCGGAACGTTTATAATTCTGCTCATATATCTCTTGGGTTGTCCTTGTATGTCTACCATAATTTGGAGGATTAAATTTAGAGCTTGCAGCTTTTTTATCACTTGGATTGCTAGTACTTGGATGGGCATTACTTGGATTGCTAGTACTTGGATTGCTAGTACTTGGTTTGGATAAGTCAGTAAGTGGTTCACAAGGATCCTTTGATTCATATTGAGTATAAATTTGACTTGATTTGTCGGAACGTTTATAATTCTGCTCATATATCTCTTGGGTTGTCCTTGTATGTCTACCATAATTTGGAGGATTAAATTTAGAGCTTGCAGCTTTTTTATCACTTGGATTGCTAGTACTTGGATGGGCATTACTTGGATTGCTAGTACTTGGATTGCTAGTACTTGGTTTGGATAAGTCAGTAAGTGGTTCACAAGGATCCTTTGATTCATATTGAGTATAAATTTGACTTGATTTGTCGGAACGTTTATAATTCTGCTCATATATCTCTTGGGTTGTCCTTGTATGTCTACCATAATTTGGAGGATTAAATTTAGAGCTTGCAGCTTTTTTATCACTTGGATTGCTAGTACTTGGATGGGCATTACTTGGATTGCTAGTACTTGGATTGCTAGTACTTGGTTTGGATAAGTCAGTAAGTGGTTCACAAGGATCCTTTGATTCATATTGAGTATAAATTTGACTTGATTTGTCGGAAGGTTTATAATGCTGTTCATATCTCTCTTGTGTTGTCCTTGTATGTTTACCATAATTTGGAGGATTAAATTTAGAGTTTGCAGCTTTTTCATTCTTTGAGTTCAAATTTGGATTAGTATCGTGTTGCTTTTGTTTGGCGCTACTGGAGCCTGTAATACCAATTTTATACATTTGCACAAAGATACTGCGTAGATACGTCTTTTATAATAAAAAAAAAAAAATAGTTCATACCCATTTTTGTAGAAGTGACGCACTATTTTGCATTGAGAGGAAAATCTTGTATCAATATCATGCCTTCAACGTCTTTCGAAATGGAAAAAAATGTTATATCGTATGACATGGACTGCACAACACATTTTTCGTTGCTACGTATTTGCGCATTCACACAGTATAACGCGTCAAGTTACTTCTAGTATGGAAGATAACGCTGCTTTCACACGTCTTATCTTCGAATAAGCAGTGAATCCCCCAACTCGACGTATATATTTATCATTGATCTATGGGCGGGTTAGCAGAAGGAACTGTGGAGACCTCTCGCGGAGAACCTGTCGTGCACAAATGTATTTCTCAAATCATATTTAAAATACGGAAAAAACCATTAAGTATTTGTGATATTTATAATTAAGTACTTATAAAATGATAATAATAATAATAAAGAATTGTCTGCAATCCTGTGTGCAGCAATTTTTTTGGAAAATGGGTTGACAAATGTAAGAATTTATTTGAGCGAGAATTCAAAGTGTAGTTCAGTACGAGTCTGTATTTTCATTTATTATAGAATTTTAAGGCCATAATTGCAAAATCTAGCTCTTTATATCTCTTGAGACATTCACCAGCAACATTTCAAAACGGATTTGCCGAGGGCGTATGAGTTCTCCGATCCAAAATGTAGGAAAGCGCAGATACCAGTGGAAAGAGTGTAGTTCAGCGGCTTTAGTGCAGTTGCTTAGTGTCGGTATGTGTATGAACATATTCTACACAGATACGATGTTTCGCATTTTCGCTGCATAACGTCTTCAAAGTCAAATCCGGATTGCTCTTAGCTCATGCCGGGCTTTAAGGTGTAGCGTAGCTGCACTTTTCGGGATATCTGCAATTTCAGGTATTTTAACTCGGAGAAGTCATATTTGATTAAAAATCTTTTTTGGAGCTTATAATCAGGTCCTCAAAAATTTATAATAAATGCAAATACTGACTTGTTCTACACTCCGAGTGCTGCAAGTGTGTGACCTGAAGTGCAATACGAATCCGTAGTTTCATTTAATATAAATTTTTGCGGCCCTAATATTGCAAAATCCGGCACCATATAGCTGAGACGTTCGCTGACAACATTCTGAAACGGCTTTGCTGAAGGAATATGATTTCTCTGATTCAGAATTTGGGAAAGCGCAGGTACCTGTAGGAAGAGCGTATCCCAACTGTTCTTTGGTGCAACTGCTTAGTAACCGTGTGTGTGTGTATGGATATATACTTATAATACAGATATGGTGTTTCGTATTTTCGTTCCATTAGGCCTCCAAAGTCAAACTTTTGCTTCTGTACACTAATTGATTCGTTTACAGTGAGCGATTAAAGTGCTATTTTTGCTTAAACATCATCCAGACAACACAATGTCTAAAACCGAAGTATAAACGCCTTAAAGATGTCTTAAAGATACCATCAAGACGTCTTATGTCTCGATTTTAGACGTTGTGTTGTTTGGATAAATAATTTAGGGAAAAATCGCACTTTGATTAACATATAAATTAAAGAAAGAAATTTGTGCCTCCCAACGATATAAACTGCATTTATTTTTCTCTAAGAAACGCAACTTGACAAACTTCGTGAAAAGTTTTAGCATCTGTAAACCCTAATTAATATTTCTATAACATTGTAAAAATTAATTATATTTTATTCTCGAAAACATACTTAAAAGTTGAGATTGAAGATGGTACAGTCGCCAATTCTCATTTAACTCGATATAACTTAGCAACAAACAATAATAACATTATGAATTTAACATTCCTGAAAGGTAGAAACTTCAAGCTTTAATATGCAAACGAGATTCATCCGAGGTTCATCCTTTTTGCGTTAAACTCCTCTCTGTCTGTTGACGGTATCGTCGGCGATTTTACGGCGATTATCTTCGACACTTCCTGTCCATAATTGGCTTTACGTTTAAAGTGGCAGCGGAGTCAATTGACGATTTCGACGGACACGTGCGTGTCCCGCTTGTCCTCACGAGGGACAGCCAGCATATTGTTTGCGCGCGTGACAGAAAGAAAAAGAGAAAGAAAGAAAGAGAGAGGGAGCGATCGGCTTCTCGTAACGTATTCTAAGGGGGTCTGTTTCATCCCTGAATCAATTAAATAGATATTAGCCGTGTCACTTGATGCGAGAGACCGTCCTCCACCCTTGCACCGAGCGCGTATAAACATCGCGCGTTTTCCGCGCGTGTCAAATCGGCTCGTGTTTACCCCCGACGTAACGTTTGACGGGGTGCATAAAGTTATTCTCCGAGCATACGCCTCGTGACGTTTCCGCTCCCTCGGAACGCTCTAATTACATCATACGACGTCCCTCGCCGGCCTTTTTTCTCCCCAAAATCCCTCGTTGTCCTCGATATTCGTCGATAAATGGCGAGTAAGGTGAAAGCATCAATGCCCGTATCTAAGAATATACGTGATACTATTAAAGTATCGATATTAATATTAAAACATATATTTTATCAAAAGCATCGTTATGTCATACTGGTATCAGAACAAAAATATATCGATACTGATATTGAAACTTTAAACAATTCAAAATTAGAGGAAATATGAAAACGAGAGAAGTGTTCGTCTTGCAAGCTACTTTTAAGGATTTCGTATTTCTTACGCGTAATTATAACCTTACTATGTTATAAAGATACTTTTTACTCCTTTTACTTCAGCAATCAATAAATAACAGTAAAAATTAGATTTAAAATATAAATTACATGTTACACTAATTTTCACGAGACAAAAATATACGATACCTTGAAGATTGAATGAGTAAAAAAATTAAAGAAAAAGATATCGGAAGGATATGGAAACAAAGTAATAGTGATATAGGTACGAATATCGATACAAAAATAGCCGGTGTTAAAATAAAATTATCGATACTAATATTATATCAGTAGCGTCATAGCCTCCCCTACGTGTACCTAACTCTGAACATTGTTTTGGTCTTAATATAAATATGGGTGTTTAAGTTTTCGACATCAAATGTACATACATGTCGCTTCACCCGTAAAACGCAATCGTGACACTTTCGTAGGAGGATTTGCATCATAAGGACGTTTTACAACAAGACGATACCAGGCGATCTTACGTATTAGATAATATCGTATCGAGAAATCGGTGAATTTTTGAAGCACCGGCTGCGCGCTCGCGCGCAATATCGCGTGAAATATTCGATACACGACGTATGCGCGAGTCCTTATGGGATTATAACCGCGCATGGAGAGCGGCCGGGATGTTTAATACAGCTCTGCTGTAATATGCGCTATATACATAACTGCAAGCTGACGCCCCGGATCGATGTTCCAGGCGTCGGCGCTGGTAAGCTCCGGAGCTTTCCGCCGTCATTTTCTAGAGCGGCCGATGCGATACGTGTGAAATCGCGCGCAGAACTAAGCGCATTTTATGCGCCTGCATTCTGTAACAAGGGACAAAGAGTAAGCTGAGATCAGGTGGAATTGAGGAGAATTTAATTTCAGGCGAAATTCATCTTCCTGAAATTTTTAACTTTCCAAAGTCCAGGGTTGACCCTAGTTATATCGAATTTTCTGTTATTTCTCGCCCCATCCGTTTATTTATAACGTTTTTGCGCAAAAGTACACTTCAAATTGAAATATTTTCAAGTCGTAATAATTTGACGAGAAGTTTATGACTCACGTTTTAATTCTATTCAAGATTTAATTATTATTGAATCATCGTTGTTATTTATCCGTACTTCCGTAAGAACAGAATCGCGAAAACAGTGTTCTTGATCCACGTTGAACGTTCATTTAATAATTCTATCGTTTCTTCGGCACACCCGTGTTAAGAAGAGATCTCCGCTCGAGATTTGTCAAAGATATCCGCTTATTATGGCACACGAAATGGAACAATTCCGACAAATTCGCGAAAATAAGGGAAATCGAATAATAGCAGGGCCGCGTAAACGCCTCCGTACGTCGGCTTTTGCACGTGTTCGTCCGATCCGATTTTGATGCGTCGCTAACAATGCACCGACCCCGGGTGCACCGTCGCCCGCAACGGGGTCACGCCTTTGAGCGAAATCACGGGGTTTCGTCACGGGCCTTTACATACTGTCCCGACGCTTATTACGCGAATTCGTCGCGGGTAACCCCCGAACTGTTGCGAGGTGTTCCAACCGACGCGTGCGTTATAAATCTTACAATAAATGTATCAAAGATAATTTCTCCGAGCGATAATCGAGGCCCGGAGAGCCAAGGTGGATTCCAGTCTGCGATTCATCGGTTGTGTATTCGTGAAATGAGTATTAAGTCGTATCGAGAGTAAATCTTATTGTGTCGTGTAATAAGTAGCTTAGAATTTTGTAGACAAGTGAAACACAATTATGTTGTTATCTTTTTTCTTTAATCCACAACTATCACAATTGTGATGGTCACACTGGGAAAGAAAAAGCGGAAAATCAAATCGGCGATCGTCCGAAAAAATATTATGTCCACTGAGCAAATTGCGTTGGCGCAACAATATGTTGCGTTGATACAGTTGACAAAGTCTCAATCGTCGAATCAACTGATAAAACTCATTACAGCAATTATATGATTTGTTCAGTGGACTAAACGTTGTGTTTGGAAAGATTTTGTTCTTTTAAGCAAAATTTCGTCAATTCTTTTTTTCTTTGTCGATGGATTAAGAAAATCCACTTTGAAATTTGAGAAAAACGTTCCCGCTATTTATTTCATATGTTTACTTCCAGATAGAACAGAAAATGACGATGGAGTCAAGATGACGTCGGAATGATGAGAAAATGTTCGAAAAGTGAGTTTTTATAGTCATTATTTTCTTATTTATTTACGAGAAATACGCCTTCAATACGTTTGACAAGTAAAATAATAAAGAAAAAGACTAAGTATGGTACTACCTATACCCACTTATAAAAAAATCCTTTACAATATGAGACATATTATATATTACATTATATATTTTCCCGTCAATTTGACGTAATTTTGACGTCATCCTGATTTTTTATCCTACTTAAGCTACATCCATCGCTTCGAGGGAAATTTTTCGCTCGTACAGATTTTACTTGAAGAAATATTAAAAAGCACCACTCGAGAACTCGGTTCTCTTCGTTGCTCGACTGTAAAGAAATGATTTTCTCAAAGACAACATTGAGAAATTCTATCGAAGCCCATGGGAACCAGTCCTCGAGCTTCCGCATCTGCTCACAGATTCCTCAAGTTTCCTAAGCACCGGTCGGAGAAAAATCCGCTCGAGTCGAGCTCCCGATCGTCGTCGCAGCGTCGCCAGGTCGACGTTCGCACCGAGTCCATCGCGCCGACCTTCCATCTTCCTGGTCGATATCAGAGATCAGCTCTCTCTCAGCAACTGAGCAACGCGACGTGGGCCGTATCCGAGCAAGCACCGCCCAACGAGGCAATATTGGGACGGGAGGGTCCAATGTCGCGACGGCGTCGGGACGCAGGCGTCGAGCAGGCTGCCGACGAGGGGGTGGCCACCCCGGCTCGCACCCCGGGCTCGAAATTTCGGAAGATGCGTGCGGCGGACCGTCCGTTCCGCCAGAAGAACGAGGCGCTCGGGCCCCGACGGGAACGTCGCAGGACGTCGTCCAAGTGCGCGCGCGGACAGCCACTTTTTTTTAATTTTTTTCCACCCTCTCGAGTGAAGCTTGCTGGTGCACCTGCTGGATAGGACAGCGAGCGCGGGATATGAGCTACACCGAACCGCTGTGGGAGATCAATGGGAATCAAGCACCAGTGAGTCCGCGTCGGACTCGCGACGCTTCCGTCCCGGGCGCTTTCGCAGCGGGTAGACGTCGACGACGTGTAACTGTTCGGCGCCGCTCGACTCGAATCGTTAACTTATTTATCCCTTTTGGTTATCTTATGCCTCTCGGATGTAGAATTGCCGAGGGGAATTCGGAAGATCGGGTCGGATGTGTTATGCCACGCCGAGAAGGAGAAATTGACGCGAAGTAAATGTTTTTTTGTCCTCTGATATTTATCGGCTAGAAAAAAAATTCGACCGGTGGCGGCGAAATAGATATTTTTGTGAAATATATCCAAGTTGGTAGTTCGCGCCGCTCGGTCCGACCGATTCTCAGGTGAGATCTGTTGGCGACAGGTAATCACTGCGGAGATGTCGCAATACGTCGGCGGTGAGATCGGCAGCTACCCGATGTGGGACGGTTCGGTTTTGTACCAGGCGCAGCCGCCTACTCATCCGCACGTGAACGAGCACGGACTGTACAGGCAACCCTGCGCGTTGTTGCACCAAAGGTAAAATCGGAAACGAAAGAGTTGGAAGAATATCTCACCCATAGAATCGCGCTTCAGAAAATTTCCCGCTCGAAATAACGACGCGATCGATGCGAGGATGCTCTTTCATCGGCCGAGCTTTCACGGTAATATTAAAGTAGTTTATTTTATTCGGATTAAATACTTGGATTATTACTTGAATGTAGCACATTAAGGGAGACAAAGTGCTACATTAAAGTAATATTTATTTAATCCAAATAAATTAAATTACTCCAGTCCTTAGCAAATATTTACTTGAACGTAGCAATTTCTTGGTTTTTATTTTTTTTTGTTTAAACGCTATCCGAAAGAACTGATATACAGCCAGTCCTCGACTCACGAAGGTGGATGGTTCTACAAAATACCACATGGAGAAAAATACGTTACTACCGCATGTTCGTTGCGACAGCAATAAAATTTAGCTAGCGTAATCAATTAGCGAGTTATTTGTTGTTAGAGAGCAGTTCTGTTACCAGGATGGAAAATATTCGGCCGAGTAAATTTTTTCCTTAAAACACGTTAGAATTCGCAGTTAGAACAAAATAGTGTTTTCCTGCATTTATTAGTTTGTCCTTACAGGAAGATAATTTGTAGATTCAGCGAAACAATCCAACGGAAGGAGATTAGTATTCTTAATATATTGTTTTGCTGTCCATATGGTACTAATTGACAGATTTCGCGACAGCATAAAATCTGCCGTGACAGCAAGTTATTTTTCTCCGTTTAGGTCAGGAATTTTCTACATAAGTACGGGTCTATGTATGTCTATATTTCAAAAATTCATTGTGATATGTCGTGATAAATACGAGCAAATATGAGTCTTTTCATTTGGCGAATAGTGATAGTCGGAGGATATCTAAGATATCGTTGCGAAAATACACTCGGTAACTTCGACGGAAACTAAAATAATAAAGTCGATATTCGAGGTACCGATTATTCGATTATCGCGACATCAGCGAACCGAGACTGATACTTTTAGTCGTTACACACCGAACGGCCGTTCGCCGAACCTGCCGTCGTCGACGACGAAGAAGCCGAGGCGTCGAGTGGCGACGGTGTCGCAGAGGAGAGCCGCGAATATCCGGGAGAGGCGTAGGATGTTCAACCTGAACGAAGCCTTCGATAAACTTCGCAGAAAAGTATGTAAATCTCGCCTATCTTCGAGAAACAATACTTTCCTCGCGACACGCGAACATTAATCGTGGAACGGAGAGAGATTTAAATTGTTACTCGGGGATATTTTCCTTTTCACTTTTGATTCACACTTCGTTGACAAATTTCTATCGCTCCTATCTTCTTCCGATTCCTAATTAACACGTTGATCAACATTCTGATTTCCACGGGCTATACGAGAACTAATTCACACCACTAATGACGGTAAATAAATATAATTCGAGACATGTTTATCTTTCGGTTTAAGATGTATATACATGTAGAAATACTTAATTAGATACGATAATATCGCAATGCCGGTCGTTGATATGTTAATGATGAAAGTGTTCCATGTTCAGGTGCCCACGTTCGCTTACGAGAAACGGCTGTCGAGGATCGAGACGCTGCGTTTGGCGATCACGTACATCGCTTTCATGGGCGAGCTGCTCGGTATCGAGCCGAGTAGCCCGAAGCAGGAGTACATACCGCGAGAATATTACCTGCCGAACTGAATCTCACGTCTACTTCGGCTACTTTGACGAACCGGGGCTCGACGTGATCACAACACGAGGTCGCGTCTCCTTCAACAGCATGGCGCGCCTCATCAACGCTCGCTTCCGACCGACGAAACTGACGATTAATAAACGAGTCTTCCATTATTGATTAGTGTCATAAGGGTTAAGTGACGAGACGCGAATGTCACGTACGTGATACTCGTTCTCCCATGCCGGAACTCCTCCGGTTCGAGCGTTGTCCCCGATCCTTTCGATACTCTCGCGATCTCCTCGCGTTTCCTCCGAGAATTGACGGGAAAATATAAAAAAAACGATTCTCCTCGTTCCCGGCGATAAAATATTTCCGAGTTTCCCCGCGGGATGTATCGAAGGGATTAAAATCTGTCGATCTGACCTTCTTCTATTCCTGTATTATGTGGCCAACGGTCTCGTAACGCTTCATCGTCGCGATTATCGCGAACCTTTATGCGATTAGAGGAGTTGACTACCGATATTAAGCGACAATATCAGATTAAACTTCTCTGTCTTCCATTATTCGTAAGATATTATATACCATAAAATGACGTTGGAACTGTATTTGCAGCGGAGTTGGAAAATTGTCATATTGGTGTCTTCGATGTGGAGCAAATTAATCCGAAGACTTGTAATATTAGAATTAACGGTAATGTGAAAATTAACAAATTGACTTTCTCCGATATTGGGGAAAACGTTTTTTTTATTCGTCTGTTCGCGCGAAATTACCCTTGCAATAACACAGTGAAGCTACGTTTCACACTGCTGCAAATACTCAACGATTTTAACAAGAATGATGACCGGACGATTACTGCGTGAAAATAAATGGGTGTAGTGTAAAAATAAGTTAAAATAAAGTTGAATAATAATACCATCCGACAACTATCTTGCAGCGGTTGCAACAACAAATTGAAGAAGACGACGAAATAGGTTTCAAGTAATGATCGTAGAACCCTCTTCTCCTTACGGAAAGCAAATAAATACGAAAATAAATTTTGTCAAATTTTATCCCATTATATCATTGTACAGAATAAAAAATTTTGAGTTAAAAATGATCCACTGAAATTTTGTGTTACTTTGATACAGTTTGGAAAGCGTAGGAAAGTATACAGATGTTAAAAAGTAGACAAATATAACAGTACAACATATATTTACAAAGTGAACATGCTAATTTAATATTATATTTGTGTACTTTTTAATGCATCCTCCATGTTAAAATAACAACAAATTTCAGTGGAGAAAACGAAAGTGTCATTTTTAACACAAAGCTTTTTACTACATACAATGACACATCATTCCATAAAGCGCGAGGTGAAACGTTTACACGGAAAAAATGCCGTTATATGCGGAAGAATCAAAGTCTGCACAGTAAAAAACATTTTGTACTTGTGTCAAAATCGATTCGTGTTAAAATGTTTGTGTTAATTTTCCAACATACCCTTGTGTTAATTTAACATATCATGTTTGCGTTACCTCAATATTTCGTGTTAAGTCGATATTCAACATATGTATGTGTTAAAATAACACATTTTCTACTTCAGCGTCGATTAGCATACTGTGGATGTTATAATTTTGCGTTAATTTCCGGCGTAATATTTGTATTACTCTTCAACATATTCGCTTTGTGTTAAATTAACGAAAATTTGTGTGGACCGATCACGGGACACATGAAGTATGTTAAATTTAACTCCAAATTTTTTACTGTTTATTTTAGCCGCAGCGTGCGATCGACGCTCGGAGAACCACGAAGAACCCTGCACGTACATCGACTGATAGCGGTACGTCACGTCGTGTTATCACTGGGACCGTCGTGACTGACGTTATCAGCACTGAAAGAGACAGAGAGAGAGAGAGAGAGAAGAAGAGCAGCACCGAGCCAGCTGTCCTCGAGAAGGTACGCGAGGTAACCGTGCCGCTTACTCGACGTCGGTATCGCGAGCGTTGTATCGATTTCTTGTCCCTCTCTCGCGCGTCAACACCCTCCTTATCGACCCTACGTTGCCGCAGGACTAGTCAGTCGCGCGAAAAGCCGGCGAGGACGACGCTATAGGACGTGGTGGTCGGTGCGAGGGGTTGACCGAACCTACCGGGGGGAACCGGTAGCCACCCAAGAAGGCGGCCTCCTTTCTCTGCAGGCCGGCGAGCCGGCCATTTAACAGGACCCCTTTTTCTTTTGATTCTCCTTTTTATCAACTCCTTCTTTTTCGTTCAAGGTTGCACCGCTGCGACGACCGTTCTTTCTCTCTCTCTCTCTCTCTCTCTCTCGGACTAGAATGAGGAGAGAAGCCGCAGGAGTGAGCAAAGAGAGGGAGAGCGCCTCCGAGGGAGAGGACCGTCTTTCAGCTCTCGGGACGATGTGGGTGAGCTTGTTAGGCTGACGTCTCAATTTTAGCGTTCTCGATCCCGGCGAGTCGTCGAGCAGCGAGCTGACGCGGGCGGAATGGCCGGAGAGAGATATCGAGGGTGGGCCCAGCGCGAGGCCACACGCGCGCACGTGCACACGTCTACGTGCGCTCGCATTGCGTACTTACGTACCTAGCCGACTCACGTATTCTCTGGATGCCGCGTTCGGAATAAAGACAAGACGGCCCGAGCGAAAGAGAGAGAGAGATGGATAGAGAGCGGGTAGAGGAGGATAACGCGGGGTAAAAGGGCTCTCTCAGTTGGTTCGCGGGCGGACGGACTGGCGAGCGAGCGAGAGAGCGGGGGAGGGAGAAAGACAACGGCGGTGGCGTCGAGGGTGAACCTCGGGGGGAAAAGAAGAAACGAAGATAGGAGCCTTGGCTCATAATAGGTGGAGAGGCCGGCGCCTCTCGTAGCATCACCACGTGGCATGCGGCCAACTACTGTCTCCTGATCAATATGCTTACGGCTACCTCGCCTCTCTTTCTATCCCTTTCCTCTCTCGGCGTCTCCCTTTTGCGCCTCTCTCCGCCGAGAGGCGGAGAGCGGAATCAGCCGTTCGGAGCCGCGACGCGACGGGATGCGGTGTCGAGAAGCCGTTTCAACGCTTTCCTCGACTCGAAGGGACGCGATCGCCTCACCATCCTGCCCTTCCTCAAAAGATACATCCCGCCGTGTCATGATTGATGGGGCTGCGATTCCCGGATTATCCGAGACGCATGGAAATGCTTGGGTCGACTGCGCTCTCCCACCGCTGCGCCGATGGGTATCGACGAGAGGCTATCGCGGAGAGAAAAGGACGGGGAATATCGAGTTAACTGTCGAAAAATTACGTCTCTGCGCGGAACGAAGCGGAACGCAGCCGGGGATATCCTCGCGCAATATCATCGGGCCCTCCACCGTTGCTTCTCCTCGTCTTTTTACCCACACGGAGAGGGGCAGAGGGGAGGAGGAGGGAGGGAGAGGCTGCGACCGCAACAACCGCCCTATTTTCGAAGCTCGCCGGGCTCTCTCGCACGCAATAACGCAGCCATTGTCGCGGATAAATATGAGGCATCATTTTCGCATTTTCCAGCGGCGCAATCTCGAGAGCTCGGCGGAGGGAGAGGGGGGGAGGAGCGAGGAGCTGGATTCCTCCTCCGCCCGAGATAAATATCCTCGCCCGAGGCTTTCGGCTATCGCGTGGGTGGGACAAATTGGTCATTCGTTTCCACTTGGGCGTTATCTTATCATCACCGCGAATTTCTCACCGTGATATATACCGCGTTGGCGCCTAACAGGTGGTCCCGTTCGTCCCGAGCGCTCCTTCGACGCCCCCCGTTAATGAGTCCCCGATGACGGCGAAATGATCGCCGGAGCGCGGTACCACGCGTCAGCCACGTGGTTTCGAGTGATCTTTTACGTCTCTTTCTCTCTCCCTCTCTCTCTCTCTCTCTCTCTCTCTCTTACCTTCACTCTCTATCTTCCTCTTCCGTCAGTCTTCAAAATCTGACGGAAGTGTGAGTGGCGGGTGCGCCAACGTCTCTCTCCCTCTCTCTCTTTTCCTCTCTTCTTTCTACGTTATCCTTCGTCCACCCTCCGATTCTGGAGGAGCCGCGCACACCGTCATCATCGAGACTCTACACCACCCGTACGCACACAGGAAGAGCCGCGCGTATATCCACGTGCACACGCGTATGTACGGTGTGTACGGAGGCTTTAAATATCCCAGCGGCATTCGCGACATCGCGAAGCAAGCGAGAGAGGGCGAGGGAGCGAGAGCGAGAGAGACGGCGAGCTATCGCGTATTATAAGGGACCACCTATATAAAGTTACCGAGGAGTTTAGTCGGCCGTTGTAGTACCTATATCGCGCGGTGGGTGGATGGACAATATCTCGTTGGTCGGTCGGCGACGGTGGCGGCGGCAGTGGATGGCTTGATATTGGTAGCGTCGGTGGTAGTGGTGGTGTTGTTGTTGGTGTTGGTGGCCGACGGCGGCGACGGCGGCGGTGGTGGTGGTGGTGGTGCTGTGCTACTGCTGCTGGTGCTGCTGGCTGCTGCTACCGTTGCTCTTCTTCCTGCTGCCTCGCACGGCCGTGGATGAGTGCGGCGGTGGTGGTGCCGGGTATCGGTGGTAGTGGTGGTAGTGGTGGTGGTTGCCCCTCAGTGTCCGGCGCGCCTCCGACAAGCGTGCTTCGGTCGTTACGAGAGGATCCCTCGGCGCTCCGTTTCACCGCGGATGACATCGGCTGACTCGCCGCCGTCGCGTAACAGACAGACGGTCTCCAGGATCATTAACGGCAGGTTAGGACGTGGGCCGGGCGGGCAGGCAGGCGCAACAGGAGAACGGAAGAGGAGAGAGAGAACCTGCCGGTGAGGGTCGGACGTGTAAACCGTGATTGCGCGATTCCGTCGGGCTGATAATCGTCGTCATCGCCGTCGCACGGTGAAGAGGATGCGATTAACGTCCGCGTCGCTCCTCCGGTGCTCGTCGACGGGGTTCGCACATTCACGGTGGTTCGCGCGGCTCAGGACGACGGGCCCGCGACGTTTGCCGCATGCGGCAAGCAGCCACGCGTCCTGCTAATTGCCGAATAACCGCGTTCCTACGAGCACGCGGAAGGGGTGGACTCCTGCGAGCGGCCAACCATCCGTCCGGACTCTCGCCGCGTGCTGGGGTGCCTCTCGGGTGGAGAGTGCCCGAGGGTCGAAGCCGCGCACGGAGCCGCGCCAGACTTTTAAATGGTGCATTATTATTCCGGGGATCTTAGCCGTAGTGAAGAGTTAGGTATACATAGGAAGTGCCCGAGAAAGTCGAGAAGACCCTAGTCGATAGCGAGCGACGTCGCCGCTTCGTTCGTTCCGAGGAGCCGGTGTGACAGAGAGAGAGAGAGAGAGAGAAAAGAAAAGGGGTTAGAGTAGCGAAGTGAAGCGTGCACATACAGTCAAGTTCAACGACCCGTTCGAATTAGCTCGCGCGAGCGAGCGGAAGGTCGGTCCAAGGACGGTGTTCAGGAGGAGCCGCCGGAAAGAGAGATAGTGAGAGAGAGAGAGGGAGGAAGAGAGGCGGAGGAGGAGGAGGAGAGAGAGAGGTATACATGTCTACACGCATATAGGGATACACATATGTAAAAAGGGAGGATAACGCGTTAATGGGTGAACGTGAGAATCCGGGAGCAAAGGGAGCGCGAATGGCCGAAACTACGAGCAGGGTGCACCGGGTTACGGCGATCCATCGGTTGGGTGAGATCGATCCTAAGGCGCCGGTATCCGGTAGTTGGTGATGGGGGGTTTAGGCGAGGATGCCTTCTCCCTGTCTTCTCTGTCGTCATCATCACCGTCGTCGTCACCGCTACGCGCCGTCATCCCCAACGTGTCAACGAGCCGTCCTATCCCCAGTGGCCGTCGTCGTCGTGGTATCACCCGCAGCCACCGGTCGCAGGCAGAGAGGCGAGGCAGCAGTCCCGTTAACGAGCGGCGATCGAGGATCGTCCCCCGCGCCGACGGAGAAGACGTCCCCGACGTCGGATGCGTCAGTGGTAACGGCCGCGTCGTCAGCGACGTGCTCGCCGAGTCCGCGCGAGAGAGGAGGAAGGTGCACCACGCGGGAAGGACACCACCTGAGTCGGTATCGCGTGAGGAGGAGGAAAGCGAGGAGCACGCCAGCGGGAGGAGGTGGTGGGGGCGAACGAGGTGACTCGCGTCCGTCGAGATGCACCAGGTGCCGTACAGAACGGGACGCACCTCGAGTGAAGGCCGATACGATAGCTTCTGGGAGCAGTCCGTGTGCGGCGGAGCGGTGCCGAGGTCCCGCGGTCGTGCCCGAACGCGCCGATCCTCCCCGGCCGGCGGTCACCGGCCCGCCGTGGCCGACGAGCGTCGCGGGTCCCCGGTGCGTGCCCTCTCCACCGGCTACGGCGGTACCCCGCCGTTCTTGCCGTCCAATTTGCTCCTCATAGGCCTGGCGCTCTGCTGCCTGGCTCTACCGGCGGTGCAGCCACGTCTCAGTCACCATCAGACGTGCCCCGGCTGCCCGCACCAGCAGCAGCCCCAGCACCATCATCATCATCAGCAGCACCACCATCATCATCACGTGCACGAGGGCGCGAGGGGTGGGATTTTCAAGGACACCACCGCGCCCAGTCCGGACGATCTCAGGCTGGAGGCGATCAAGCATCAAATCCTGACGAAGCTCGGACTCAGGTCTCGCCCGGATGTCAACAGGACGTTAGCCACCGTGCCCCGGCACTTGGCGTTGGAGACCCTCTACCGCGCGGAGGCGCAAACGCCGCCGCGCTACTCCGACCGGTCGAGGGTCGACTACGAGAGTGAGTATCCGGGCGAGTTCCTTTACGCCGGCGACGAGTACTCGTACAGGAACCTCGAGCAGCGGACGGAGGAGGCCACCACGACGGAGGGGAACGCCCGGACCACCTCCAGGTCCCATCAGGGATACGACGACGTCCAGGAGGAGCTCGACGACTTCTACGCGAGGACCTCGGAGATTATCACCTTCGCCGAGCCCGGTGAGTTTCACCTGGCTTCCGATTGATCGGTCGTCAACGAATCCTCGCCATGTGAATCGCGAGGATTGCGAACGACCGCCCCTGTCCGTCGCGGCGATTTCGCCGGCGAAAACTCACCGAGAGGAGCGCCTCGGGGGAACGCGTGGGCTGACACGTGACCGCGCGCATGTCATCGACGGGTCATTTCATCCTCTCGCGTTCCCCGGGAAGCTATGCAGCCGATGCGAAGGGCAGGAGAGACCCGCACGGAAAGAAAAAGTGCTGGATTCAAATCAATCATTATATTATGTAATCGTTATATTTCGCTTGGATCAAATAGTAATGCCTAATCCAATTCAAGTATTTCCCAAGCAAGCTATCTAAATAAGATATTCGCTTGATCCAAATCAAATTTATCTAATCCGAGTAAAATTTTGCTAGAGCATCGGAGTAATTGTTTACTGGAATATCACTTTTTCCCCGAATCACTAACCAGTGCATAGGAAAACAATTAGGTTTAAATCAACAATAGATATTCTCATATACAAGCAAGAATATCGTAATCTTCTTAGATGATTTTTTTCGTTCTGCTTTGATTGTATTTGCATTGATTCAAGTATGCACTTGCACTCAATTCAAGACTGAAGATCTTCGAGGAAGGTTGTAATATTCTCGCTTGTACACAGGAGCGTCTATTCCTGATTCAAGAATAATTTCATTCCGTGTACGGTCGGTAGTTTGGAAATTCCCTGTTTCTTGACATTACGATTATCGAATTTACACTTGTTTGCGTATGGTCAGTCACGAAAAGGTTGCAACATACTTTTTATTAATTTTTTATTAATTTCGCATCCTGCCTCCAGTATGAGAGTTTCTTGTTTAGTCATTCTCGGGGGACACATTTTTCTGTCGGATACGTTACGAAACTCGTCGGAGAAAGGTGTCGCAATCTCACGACCGACCATGTACTCGCGAAAGACGGACCGAGAGAGGAGAAAAATGTTACATTCAAATAAATATTTTACTAAGGAGTATGAGAACAATTATTTTACTCAGATTAAGTAAAATTATTGCTTGAACGTAGCACGCTGGAAGGAAAAAAAAGTGCCAGATTCAAGCAACAGTTTATTAAATCCAAGCAAGATAATCGCTCCATCAGCAAATGTTCACTTGAATGTGACGTTTTTCCCTCTCTCTCAGTGTGGACACGTGCGAGAAATAACGTCGGCCTCGCTGCTCGATGCACGCTCGCGACGCAGACGAGCACGACAATCGACACCTCTCGCCTCGCCCCGGAGGCACGGTGAGGCATGAAAGATCGCCTCCTCCGCGTACCTCGACGCAAATTACAGCGTCACGGAGTAACCGTCGCTTAGCAATTCCTGCGCGCGATACATCGCGGTCGATACCGAATAATCAAGATTTAACGACGAACTCGCGCTGTCCTTCGCGCGTGATTTTCACCGCTGCGATCTCCTCTCTCCTGTGTGTAAAGCTCGCTTCTAGGAAAGAAAGAAAAAAACGCTTTCCAACACGCCGGCCGGCCGGTGCGAGGTGTCGGTGCTCGCCGGCGGTGATCCTTGAAAAAGTTGCGAAGACATTCCGCGATGCGGAAAACCGTGACGCAAGTCCGCAGGCCAGGACGCACTTTAACTCGGTCAACTTTCCTTCGCAAGTCTCGCCGGGTCTCTCTTTCCAATCAAAATAGTCCACCTACGCGAACGGGGGAAATTACATCGCGCGCCGGATAAGAGGCGTTGTCGAGTCTACGCTCTAATGCGAACGATCAATTATTCGTCGGTAGTCGCGCGGAGGCGCGCGCGCGCGTGCGATCGTTAGATGTTGTAATACGCCGCGTATCACAGCGCGCGGCGGCGTCCTGAAGTCCGATAATGTACCGTCTAATAATTAATAATAACGTTGCAAAACTCGACTCGGTGATTCCTCGGTCGTGGAGAGCGAGAGAGAGAGAGAGAGAGAAAGACGACAGTAGTCGATGGCAGCCGCGTTCGTCGCGAGATCGTCCCATCTAACAACGATCGCGATGGCGATTCGGGGAAGCGAATTACGGAAATCGAAGGCCGACGAACGGTCGATATCGCAATTGCGCGTTTTTTCGTCGTTTAATATCTCCTCCCTTCCCCTCTGCCCCATCTGCCGCCGGAGGAGACCGCCGGATTAAGGAATTCGTTCGCTCGATGCCAAATCGTGCGAGGAGAATTTACTGATTCCACGTCTGATTGGATGACCCAGTCACTCGACGAAACTTTCCTCCCTTCCCCCCCCCCCNCCTTCCCCCCCCCCCCCCAAAACTTTTCCCCCGGGGCGTCTCGAGATATACGCCTTATAACGAGGATATCGATATATAGACGGGAAAATATAGCTAACGCCCGTTATCCGCCCGTATTCGTAGCTTATCGATCCCGGCCCTTCCAACGATCACATCTCCCGCCGAATTAGCGCGACGAGATCGCTTCGCCAGCTTTCTTGCAGCTTTCCTTTGTTTACGATCTCATGATCGATGCTCGGTATCGCGGCCTTCGCGTCATCGCGAAGTGTTTATGAGCGTCAGTCCGTGAGACGGCTTTGTTTCGCAAAGTGGTACGCTGATGTGTTAATCGGAGACTCGTTTCTTCGCGTTACATGTTACAAACGCATGTGGGTGTAATTGTCCGCGGAGTAACCGAGTTTCCCCCGAGTTTGTCGACGCCTCGGGCGTTAGATTGCTTAGAATGCGGATGACATTCTTTTGTCGTGGAAATATAATATAAAAATATAAGCATCGGAAGTCGTAGAAGAAGTAGTCTCACATCGGTGATTCATTTGTATCATCGGATTAAATCAATGATATCACTAAATATCGTTAGATTAAATCAATGATATTCTTATATATAAGCAGGAATATTATAATATTCTTAGAGGAGCTCTTCGAATTTTGGTTGAAGGAAACGGAATTTCTCATTCTTACGGCCCAAATTCGTTCCTCACAAAGGACCAGAAAGTCTCCTTCAACCAAGACGTACTTGATTCGTTCAGTATCTATCTTGTAAATTCAGCCGTTTTTTCCCTTACATGATGATCGCTTACGTGAGGCGAGACGTTTGAGAAAACCAATGCGATCCCGAAATGCGTAATAATAAATAGGAAAAAGTCTTTAGCGAATTACATTTCACCGTGACGCACGGTTACGATTTAATGGACCGTGAATGTTTCCGCTAAATAGCGAGTACGCGAATGGAATTGACACGGCCGCTATTTGCAATGAGCTCGGTCTCCGATAACAGGGTGACTTCCGCGAAACGCCAAACAACACGTCGCATGCACGGCGCATACACACACAGATACAATGTAATAACCGCGCTGTAAACAAGGCGGGGTTAATCTATCGCGTATTACGTTACTTCTCTCCGGTAACGACACGTACCGGGGGCTACGTTTTATTGCAATTTCATTCGCGACATGACGTAATCCGTGTCGCGCGCGTTCGTAGGAATCACAGCGTCGAAAGCCGGCTCACGCGATATCATCGATACAGCCGATATCGTGATCTCGCAGCGAACACAATCGACAAATCCTCCCCGGGGAGGAATCCCCGGAAAGCGATTCCGGCCGATTCGCGGATCGTCGTCAATAATTTCAGCCGCGTTTACCGCCGATAGGCCGCCGGCGAGGCCCAACGAGGGGTGACTCATGGCGAAATTTCGAACGGCTTGTCACACTTACAACTTCCATCACGACTCCTCTACATTATTCATTCTCTAACATCATTGTAGTTTCGCTTCCTCGTAGTTTCGCCTAGTTCGAGTCCGAGCACAATTCGCGCGTGTAATTGCGAGTGACAATCTGCCGCCGCCCTGCTCCTCCCTGCCGACGACGCCGGAATTCGACATCTCCGAGCGAGAATGACGAAAGTGCTCGAATTTCTTCGCTCGTCATCGTCACCTGATGAATTACTGTCGTAATCTGCGTCGCGAGCAGCACGGCATCGGTCCAGGACGAGAGACCGAAGCTGAAATTTCGCGACCGGGGCGACTCGGGGAGAGGCGGTACGTCCGCCGTTCGCCGCTCGAGGCGCTTGACGAGCCGCTCGCGGCCACACACCTGCGGCCACGTGGCCCCGCGCCGCGGCGAGTGTTGCGACAACAGAGCGGGGTCTATAGTTCACTCCGTAGTTCACAGTAACTCTAAGTTTAACAATAAGGGTAATAGAACCACAAGGTAGAAACGGTAATGTTACCGACTCGTTGTGGCCCGCGAGCGAGCGAGCGTACCTTCGCCGCCATTAAATTAACGAGCCCGACCGAATCGACGCGTTGCGTCAGCGGACGCTCCAGCGCATTTAACCCCGTCGCCTCGTTTCACCTTATCTCTCTTTTCTTCCTCGAACGAGAAACACGTGTCACATTCGAGACGATTTCCCCGCACAATGGCCAGCGCCGGGCGGCCGTCGTGGCACGTGCGACGTCGATTTTCCTTTTCGCAAGTGGACAATCAAAGCAGCCGAGAATAGAAATCCGCAGCACTTCAGCGAGCGGCTGTCCGAAAACGGCCGTCCGAGGTGGTCGCTGCACGTGGATCACGGGGAAAAGAATGCATTGCGTCGACAAGAGAGAGAGAGAATTGTGTGTGATTTGGCTTAATTAGGTTTTAGCGCGGTGTCTACCGGAGCTCGGGCACCGATCGATTCGCGCGATATCGATGCCCCCTCTTTCCCGGGGGATCGTCATTCCGGACGCTTCTGCCGCGAAGACGAGCCGCGGAGCGGCCGAAATAGACGCGTCGTCGAGTCGGCGCGCACCCTCGCGCGTTCGCGAATCTCTCGGCGAGTCGCCGATTTTCCGGCCGATTTTTCCGGACACGTCGCGCTACGGAGCAGCCCGGCGAATGCGCCACATGTGATACTTTAACGTTAATGTCGCCGTCACTATACATAGCCGATGAACACGTCATTCTTTTTGAAGAAACTAAAGAAACTATAAACGACCATTGGACTCGGCCCGGCATCGACCGGCCGGGGCAGC